GATGTTAATGGAGAAAATATACTGCTACCCTCAGCGCCCAATCAATAACCCAGACTCTAGAGCATGACACTTTTAGACGGGGACATAAGTTTCACAGAGGGCTAACTAAAATTATTTTCGGATAATCGGTGGTTCAAAGGGTTGCACTGAGGCTACTGGTCATTTTTACGGTTTTCTTTGTCTGCAAAAGCACAGAAAATGCAGAGTCGCTCTTATGATCATAAAATGTGATGTAGCAGGTGACTGATTAGTTTACCCGAACACCTGCAAGGTACTCAAGTCGGAAAAACGAGTAAGTCACATGCTTTAATTAAGGAATATCAAATTCAAGAAAAGAGCATTATACTTAGTTTTTAGGTCACCTGAGACAAAGTCTCAAGTGACCTATTGCGATCGCCTTTTGTCCGTCGTCGTCCGTCGTCCGTCGTCCGTCGTGCGTCCGTAAACAATTTACATTTTCAACTTCTTCTCCAAAACCACTGAACCAATTTCAATGAAATTTTGCAGGAACCTTCCATGNCCCCTGGGGAGGGGGTAAACTTTACTATAGTTTATATAGGGAAATCACATTTTGGACCAACATTTGTTTAATTTCCATTGGATGTAATTCAATTTAGGTAAGCATTAGCAGTATTAGGTAGCAGTTTGATAGTATGCACTTATCAGCCCTGACTGATCCCTCGGGCTGATCGTCGGGGCCAAAAAGGGTCGAATTGACTGAAATTTCAAAAATCTTCTTCTCAAGACCCAGATATGGTAGAATCAAATACTCTTCATAGATGGAAGGGTCTTAAGGTTTCTTTACCAAAATTGTGAATTTATTGACCCTGGGGTCTCACGTTTTCCCCTGGGCAGGGGGTAAACTTTACTATAGTTTATATAGGGAAATCACATTTTGGACCAACATTTGTTTAATTTCCATTGGAAGGAATTTAATTTAGGTTAGCATTATCAGTATTAGGTAGCTGTTTGATAGTATGCACTTATCAGCCCTAACTGACCCCCCGTGGTTGATGGGTGGGGCAAAAAAGGGTTGAATTGACTGAAATTTCAAAAATCTTCTTCTCAAGACCAAGATATGGTAGAATCAAACACTTTTCATAGATGGAAGGGTCTTAGTCTTATGGTTCATGAGCCTAGGGTCTCACGTTTACACCCTGGGGAAGGAGGGGGGCAATTTTTTTTTATGGTTTATAATGGCAAATGATACTTTGAATATTACATGTTAATAACTTGATTGGAATTATAACCTTGAGTTGAAATTGATACTTTGAAACTTTTGAGCCAGCCCTACCCCAAAGGGAAGTAGGGTGGGGCCCAAAGGAGTCAGTGTGCTAAAAATTCTTCATTTTCCTTGTTTAGAATCAGAGGTGCTATTTTCAAATACTTTTTAGTCTTAAATCTGTATGCTAGATATTGAGTAAGTGGTTTTATTGTTTTTTGTCACTGAGTAATATTTCTGTTCGTGTTAAAAACAAAATCAACTCTCTGTATAAAAATATCAGGTGACCGTTAAGGCCCATGGGCCTCTTGTTCATATTTCAAATCACCAACACAGTATAAAAGTCTGTCATTTCAAAAATATTGTCTTGTAGTCAATATAGTTTTTTTTAACTTTTACAAGCTTTACACTTCTTTCACTTATAAACATATTTTCATTTTTGATGCTTAAACCTCCTCATCACAAAACCTATAAGATTTACCACAAGATCTAATAATGACTGCCAACTTACCTGATTCTTTGTGTGATATTGTGTAAAGGTAATGTACAGGTACAACGTACAAATGTACTGACCGGCTGTGTCTGTCTATGAATAGGTTAAATCTACGTACTTTTCCAGTAACTCACAATCTTCCGAGAATTAAGGCCTACATAATATATACACATGAAGTGGAGCTGAAAGTAACGGATTTTCAGAAAGTAACTCAGCTTCAATTTATGAGAAATTATATTGATGTAAGACAATTGCACACGGTAATTTATATTGATGCAAGACAATTGCACACGATAATGTATATTGATGTAAGACAATTGCACACGGTAATGTATATTGATGTAAGACAATTGCACACGGTATTTCTCCTTTGACTGGTTACATTTCACATAAAAATATAAACTTTATCTATTTTACCACAATATGAAACATGTTGTTTCAAACTTGTATTAATCACTATTGTTAGCCCGAATGTCACTCAGCGCGGGGTGGGGTTCGGGGATCTTTTTTTTTGGGGGGGGGGGGGGGTCGATCTTAATGTGGGAGAAGCCATTCTCATTAAACACACTGTATATCCTCCCATGTTCATATTATATCTCTCATTGAATTCGTCATATGTATTTATATATGTGTGTTTATTAACACACTTCATCTCTCAACGTGCACAATATTTATTTATTTTGCACACTTTAATCTCTCAGTGTACACATCCGATATCTCACTGTACAACTCTCAGTATGTAAACATTCAATCTCTCACTGTACAACTATCAGTATGTAAACATTCAATCTCTCACTGTAAAACTCTCAGTATGTAAACATTCAATCTCTCACTGTGCAACTCTCAGTATGTAAACATTCAATCTCTCACTGTACAACTCTCCGTATGTAAACATTCAATCTCTCACTGTACAACTCTCCGTATGTAAACATTCAATCTCTCACTGTACAACTCTCAGGATGTAAACATTCAATATCTCACTGTACAACTATCAGTACGTAAACATTCAATATCTCACTGTACAACTATCAGTATGTAAACATTCAATTTCTCCCTGGACAACTCTCAGTATGTAAACATTCAATATCTCACCGTACAACTCTCAGTATGTAAACATTCAATATCTCACTATACAACTCTCAGTATGTAAACATTCAATATCTCACTATACAACTCTCAGTATGTAAACATTCAATATCTCACCGTACAACTCTCAGTATGTAAACATTCAATATCTCACTGTACAACTTTCAGTATGTAAACATTCAATCTCTCACTGTAAAACTCTCATTATGTAAACATTCAATCTCTCACTGTACAACTCTCAGGATGTAAACATTCAATATCTCACTGTACAACTTTCAGTATGTAAACATTCAATCTCTCACTGTAAAACTCTCATTATGTAAACATTCAATCTCTCACTGTACAACTATCAGTATGTAAACATTCAATTTCTCCCTGGACAACTCTCAGTATGTAAACATTCAATATCTCACTGTACAACTTTCAGTATGTAAACATTCAATCTCTCACTGTAAAACTCTCATTATGTAAACATTCAATCTCTCACTGTACAACTATCAGTATGTAAACATTCAATTTCTCCCTGGACAACTCTCAGTATGTAAACATTCAATATCTCACTGTACAACTCTCAGTAAGTAAACATTCAATTTCTTACGGGTCACACTTCGTCTTTTTAATGAGACTTCCTACAATTAAAGTTTACAAAAATATTCTTTGTAATACACTTTGTAAGGTATACTTTGTAATAGCAGAAAAGTTTTAGTCAACCGACTTAATCGTCGAAGTGTAATAGTAAGCGAAAGTGAAGAAACTTGCTATAGTTACATCCACGTCATGCAAATTAATCTGAGCTTATGGGTACAGATTTCCCCAATATGTATATGAATAGAAATCGCTATTATTGCGACAAACACAATATAAAACTATAAAACCCCATGGAAGAACGGTAACCACAGATAGATTATTCATAAATACATAATGTAGCTTTGAATAATATCACCATGAAAAATATAATATATCAGATTTCTAAGTGACCGGAAATCCCCTACGGACAGTGGTTCCAAATACACCACACTTTAGGATGTTAACGCCAACTAAACCAGCTGTAGCAGACTAATGGCGTCATACTATTAAAGAATTATGAGATAATGGACAAAATACAATGTATAATGCAATAGCAAAATATAGAGAGCATGGCTTGTCAATGATTATAAGTTGAAAGATACATTTGATGAAAGCATGGATTTAAGATTACTTCAATTTTAAGCAATTAGAAAGATTACATCTCAAATTTGTTAAAACAGATTGTTTAAAGTGTCGACCAGTAGCTGCACATAAATGGAAAACCTGGCATATGCCTACAAAGTATATTTACATGTGAATGTAAAAATGATTCCCTTTTAGACTAAGTTATCAGATAACAAGTACAATAAACTATATAACAGGTTAACTAACGTTAAATACTATAATTCATCATTGATATCGTGTATCAAGGAATTTCTTAATAACTGTGAATCGTTAGAATATGAAAGCAGCGTCAAATGGTTAAAACAAATTTCCCATAGACTTATATAAACATTCCTAGATAGCTGGCAACAAGATATATAAAAAACAATTCAATGGAAACAAATTACATCATATTTAAACCGACAACAGTAGATATGTTATCACCATATTTAAACCGGAACTAATAAAAAAAAAAACAAAAAAAAACTCCCATCTAAATACATTGTTATATCTAAAGCTAGATATTGACATTTAATATAAAAATTTCGTAAAATGTGATAGACGGAATAATAAACCAAAGGAAGTGTGAATACGTAAAGTATAAACAAGAAAAAAATAAGTACGAGGATATCATTAATGTCTGAATACATGTTCACGAATCTAAAAGTAAATGTATGCCTTCATTTTTCTTTGGGAGCCAATCTACACGTGCAAGCTTCACACTTGATTCAAATTTATTATAGAAAAACTATTACTTTTGCTCATCAAATGCATCACCTAAACAATTCAGCACATTTCCAAATTGATTGCATATTATCTACATATTTAGGCACTAAAACGTTTATGCATTAATGTATGTGTGACTAACGTAATGATCATATATTGTAACTTTTCTACACATATTTTCACTGTGATTTTAGATTTATGAGAATAAGAAATATCGTGTGTCATTTCTTTGTTACTTCTCTCCTCTGTCGTTGTCTTAAAGGTCTATAATAACAAAAGTTACTAACTTTAAAGTCCGTCCCTCACATTTTCCATGAAACCTTGAACAAACACCTTCTATATCTACAGACACGTTTTATAGATAAATGAGTTATGATTCTTGATAACTATAAACTTGTATATTTACTTTCGCTTTGTAAACAGGAAGGTGCGCTGTCATGCATTTTGTCCAGTCATCCACTTAAACCCTTAGATTCAATAAACTGAGTCTAAGCACACAGTGGTGCGCTAAGGTTGTTTAGGTTAAATATATAATGTAAATTTCCATTGGCTAAGACTATGTCTACAAGTCACCAGACAATGTGAGGTTGGTTCTGGGAGTGAAAGTACAGTCTTGAGATCCAACGATGGGCTTCGACGATTCTACAACGTCAAGTGTCACTATGAACACCCTTAGCCCATCAGATGATGATCCCGTTAATCTCCTGGACAATGTGTCACTGGCACTGTCAGGCTTCAGTAGCTCCCTCTCGATCATTGGAGCCAGTATTATATTTTTGACGTACAATGTTGAGGTTCGTAACGCACGAATCAGGCAGACACGTCGCCTTCTGATGTTTCTGACAGTCGCAGACATCATGACTGCGTGTGGCATCTTGACCGGCACTATTAGGTACGCCGTTATACATCAGCAACACGACGTTATAACGATAAAGGAACACGAATATTTATGTACACATCCGGATGAAATATGCATAGCTCAAAGTATGATCACCACATTCTCTGGAATGGCCTCTTTCTGCTGGACACTGGTCATAGGCATTCACCTTATCGTTAGTCTTCGACCTTCTTCTGCAGTGTCGGATCCTGAAAGGCCATGGAGTGAAATCAAGGCTCACGTGATATGTTGGGGTCTGCCAGGTACGTCCAAAAAGGTTATATTCAATTGTCACTATTCTCCCTTTCATCATTTTATCAGTTCATATCTTTACTCTAGTAAACACAGGGACCTAAGAATTCCAGTTATATTACGCCCCAAATTGGGGTCATTTTTGGAGTTAAGATCAAATATCGGTAAAATTGCAACCCCATATGATCGTATGAGATTGAGTTTAGCCATTCCTAGTGTATTTTGGTCAAAACGTTATCGATAAATGCTATATTTTACCATCATATACAATTAAACACTTTATTGATGTTTTATTAACATTGCCTTATCAAAGAATGATATACATGCATATCAACTCTTAATCGAAGTACGATATATATAAGTAAACCATTATCTACAGTTGAGCCTTTTGTCGAAATAGCATTTACTTAAAAGTTTATGAAAGGACGTTGAAAAAATATTGCATACACTATAACCGGTTTCCAATGAACGATGAATTTTCTGATTATATTCCGTTCATATTTTAACACTGAACATGGTTACATTGTGCTACTGTACAGTTGTATATTTCAGTGGCAATCTCATTTTAGGGATTTTCACCGTTTCAATATTGCTCTTAATCATTGCTGGAATATTATCTACATTTCATTTTCTCATCTTTATATTAAATATCAACAAGTACAAACAACATTTACTCATATGTCCAGGTGTGATAACTATGACTGCACTTGGATACGATATGTTAGGGGAAAACTTCAGTATCGGGACCGGCCCCTGGTGTTGGATCAAGGTGTGTCTGAAAGAAAGAAAAGTGTCGACAATGTATATATGGATGGCTGTGACCGGCAAGGGATGGGATATTATTACTTACGTCGTCAGCATGGTCTTTTTTATTCTTCTTGTCTTCTATCTTCGCAGAAGGGTGAGTCATGAATAAAATGTCACTTTTAACATATAATTCATGTTGGCATTTATCACCATCTTAAATAAGAATAATCGGTCAGGAAATATGTAATATCATAGTTTTACTTTATACACAAATATTATTAGTATGAAACGGCCGCAAAATTTCAAAACCGACTGGTTCTTTTGTCAGGCTATGACTGAGTGAGCGATTTGTATTGTTTACCTGTATAAGATGTCACGAATATTTCGTTTGTCAGTCGACACGGGGACGTTTCGCCTATCGATAGAGAGTGTATACTCCTATGTTACTGAGGGGGAACAACAGCTAAGTCATCTGCATGACCCATTACTTACCTGAACGGGAGAAAGGGCTAAATCTACACCCAACCAGTAACCTATGTTATTATCTTTTGAGTAGTGGCGTGGTTCTTAATATACTTTACTAATTATTTAATTAAAAAAATAATTTATTATAATTCAATAGTTATTCTGGCGCTGATTCTATCACCTTTATATAGAAAACGCTGTTAATAATATACCTTTTCGAATGATTTATGCGAAAACCTTTATTGAATTTACAAGGTTTAAGTACCTATTTATTTGTCTTCAGGGCTTTTCCATATCGGACTTGCCACGGAGAACAGAGCACCGTCTGAGGCAGGCGGACGCTAACTTCGTCTTTCTTTGGCTGCTAACATACGTACTAAAGGTATGGGGAACTGCCAGATTCTTTATGAGTATGACAGAATACAAGACTTATCGAAAGGATGTACCTACCTTTGATAGTATGGAAAAGTTCTTGTTATATATGCAGAGTTTCTGTGACGGCTTGCAGGCTTTCTGTAACTGTATACTATTCGTGTTTCTAGATAGAACCATGATAAATGGAATGATCAACCACTTCAGGTGTACCCTAGCACGACGTCAACCACTTCTACAGGATAGCCAATCCCGTTATGGGTCGACAAATTGTTAACAAATTAACAGTGTCCCGAATTAACGGTAGAACGTACTACAGAATGTGAGGAAGTGATGACGACAAACCATGTTATTGCAATACTATGAGAAAGTGTTGTGGAACATACCATGTTGTATATATACCAGGTAGAAATGTCGTAACAATTGACAGTGGAACAGTCCATACTGTAAATTTACCAGGTAGTAATGTCATGACAATTGACAATGAAACAGTCAATGCAGTACATGTACCAGGTAGAAATGTCGTAACAATTGACAGTGGAATAGTCCATGCTGTAAATTTACCAGGTAGAAATGTCGTAACAATTGACAGTGGAACAGTCAATGCAGAACATATACCAGGTAGAAATGTCGTAACAATTGACAGTGGAACAGTCCATGTTGTAAATATACCAGGTCGAAATGACGTCACAACAGACAGTTGAACTGCATATTTTATTCATAAATTGCCTTCTTCATGGAGCGATTACACGTAACTGATTCTAATAACAAAGTGTGGTATAAAATCTACCGTCAATATTTTATACAAAATACGACTGCTTAACATATCTGAATTGGAACAGTCATGACTAGAAAGCATGTCATAATTGTTTGACAGATTATTTAATGTTGAATGATGATATTACAAAAACTTGTTTTAGCTTAGCTGTTTACATTTTTATACGCTTAGTTTACGTTTTTCTTCCATGGAAAAGAACCATGATTTTAAGCCTTTACGAGATAAATCAAGTTTAAACGTTGATCGAGAACAAAGCGTTTTTTTCCCTTTTAAATAATAATAATAATAATGATAATAATAATATACAACATATATAAAATTACTCTAAAGCGCTTTACAACATATGGATAATAGTAATGGTTATAATTGTGAAAACAAAAAACAAAGGCTTACAATCACTTTTATACATTTAAGTTAGCAATGTGCACATACAATTTGTAATTGAACAAATAAAAGTGTCGTATTTACATGACGTCTTTGCAAGGATTCTAAAACGCAGACGTGAAGAGGTGAGTTTTGATGTCCCTCTTGAACTTGGTCAGAGTACCCTCCCAAAGCATCTGTTTCCGTAGGTCCCAGTACAAGTTTGGGACACACAACAAAGATTCTGACTCCGGCCGTAGTGATCGTGACGGCTGATACAGGGTAACAAGCTCCTGTAGGTACTGAGGAGCTGTTCTATTCAGTGCCTTGTATGTGTACACCAGAATTTTGTACTGCGACCTGTATCGTACAGGTAACCAGTGCAACGAATAAAGCACATGTGTGATGTGCTCTATCTTTCGAGTACGAGTAATTAGTCGTGCTGCAGTGTTCTGGACCCTCTGCAGACGACTAGTTAGAGTACCTTAAACAGGTATTTAGACAGTCATTACACCGACGTATAAAAATATATCAAGGCACTAAAGAGTACAAAGCTATCATGACTTTGTTTTCGTCTACTTTAGTCAATCGGAATTGATATTTTTTTCAATTGGACATCATTATAACCAATCATCATCCTAGTTGACTAAAGAAATCTGCATACTTCAATGTCTTTAAGGAAGAAATTAAAGGAATTCTGTAAAACCACTGAAGAAACACTTAACACAAGTTTTATAATTCACTGTACATAGTCCTGACATAATAAATCAGCGAGGAAATGAGACCTGTTGTGTTAAACGCCGATAAGTGCAATCAAACGTTACACATGTGTATAGTAAATGTTGTAACATATATACACTCGACTTTCCGGCTTGCTCGGAAAAACACTTGAAAAACACCAGCGCATTTGATTTGTTCATAGTATGTAATACACCGCAATCTTCCCCGTGATCTAAATAAGAGTACTATGATGAATCATGCTAGTATAACAGTATTTTTTATATAAGCTATGTTAAGAGCTGTACATTTAAGCAATGAATGTTTTAGCAAATGTTGTTATGGTCCTATAGGCTAACGCACATTGCTATTGATGACAAACTTAGTAAAGACCCGACAAGGCTTTATGTAAGTTTCTCAGCAATTAAAATTTGTGTTATAGGACCATAACAATATTTGCTAAAATATTCATTATTTATATTTACATTTTGATAGAGTAGTTATGTTTTATTTTGTCTTTTCGAACAGCAAATTAAGTCTTGACAATAATAAAATTGATGACGTCACAATAGAGATTGACGACGTTACAATAGATAATGTTGTTATAGTCTCATAACAACATTTGCATTCTCAGTGCATTGCAATGAGATGATGCAGAGCGCAAATGTAAAGTTATTTTCATCTGTGACCCTTCGTATCGGGTGCTAAAACAATGGATGAAACATTGTATGAAATACATGATATTTATGTATGCATGTCAATGTGTGTTAAAATGTACTATTATAGTAATCAATTTCTTAACTTTGAAAAATGGTCCATATAAGGTTACTGTTGTTCACGATAACAGAAAAACTAACCTACATACCATCAATGTACATATTTTAGCGGTTTTCTAATTTTAGCGATTTGGTAGTTTAAATATTGTGCTATATTATGGCAACGCTAATTTCAGATTCTGTATTATAAATTTTCCTGTTGCATCTATTGTGAATGCACCAATTCATCGTTGTTCATAATATGGGTTTCATGCCCATTGCGCTCACTCACACTGTTAACACATCTGTTACATAGAAAATAAATTAAGATAAGTACATATACGTTGATTATTATATATTTTCGGTTAAAACGCTTGCTTTGCATGATATAATTCTGCACAGATGTAAAAATATCAAGATTAACTGCTTCCGGTAAATTTATATCACCATATGATAACAAATTAGTTGTGGTGTTGTGGGGTAGTGATAATAAGTAAGTTTGTCGTAAAACATTATAGTTCGGGCATACGAGTAAGTAATGGGTATTATCCTCTATTTCCCCGCATGTACATACTGGACTTTCTACACGTTGTCTTTTAAATAGGTTGTCATTTAGAGTGCTGCATGATAGTCTTAGTCTGGTATGGTATATTTGGGCAATTCTTTTTCCAGAATAGTAGTAAGACGGAGGGGACGGTCGTGCATCTTTTTCGAGGTATTTCTTAAAGTGTGATAAAGAGGGATTTGTTCTAATTTCAACTGGCATAATATTCCAAGATGATATAGTGGAAGGTATTTGCAACGGAGAGATGAAAGATTATTTGATTGTCGAGTACTATGCCTATGGGTATCTGCTATTTGGGGTGGGATAAGGATGGATAGATATTCAGGAGTTATATTATGTACCATATATAGTTACCTTGTATAGTTTTTATACTCGATGCCGGTAAAATTAATCCCTGTAATATATTTGCCACTTACCGGCATCGCTTACAGTATTAGCATCATGAAGGGTTATCTGTGATAATAGCAGTCATAAACACTCATTACGGAGGGTAAAAGGGGCGAAAATTTAACAGTAGTGAGTATTTACCAGAAAATATCATATATATCATGGTTTCGTATTTGTTACTCCAGAGCCTGCTTTCATTTCTGGATTTAACGAGAGATATCCGGACTTGCGTCTGACACCAGTATGCCTCTCTGTGTTGTAGAGCTTCAGATAGCTCCCTTCAATTTGCATGCCGACTTTGAGTTCATGTCCTGATGTGCTGACGCTCGGTATATATACTTTTGAAATACTAATCAATACATCATTTAAATAACGGAAAATAATTAGCGATTAAGAGTTAACGTAAAAAACGCTTAAATCACATATCCGCTAAAATAAGTACGTTTCCAGAACAGTATACAAAAGATTCTTGCAAATGCGAGGCAATCTCGAGAAGACGAGCCCAACCAGCCTATTCACATCCACTGTGTAAACCTTTGTATAATTTATTTGCTTTTGAATACAAGTAACCAACTTTGATTTGATGACTACTTACATTTATCCTCGATGAGTCCGCCCGTGATTATTTACATAGACTCTCTGGCATAGTTGTAAGTCGAAATAAGAGCATATTTTTTCGCCTTATATTTGTAACTGCTTTACTTCCTGCAGAGGATGCCGCCATCTCGTCACGATGTAATTGACTATGACATAATATGACGGGAATGGAGCGCGGCACAGGATACCTTTTGATATTATTAACAATAAATCAGTTAAAACAATAAATATATGTTTACTTTATTTACGTGTTTGCATAACAATTATATGAATATTTGGGATTAAAATAATTATCTCTATATCATTTTATTGTTTACTACTGTAAATTAATTTTGAAATAGTTGCTTTCTTACTTCACATTTCTAAGTAATATTTACCGAATAATGTAGTTAACTCCGTAAATAGTTAAATCACTGACCAAGATTGACCGTAACCTTATTCTGTAACAGTAAACATGAAATGATCCTTTTAGAATGGAAGCACGGTAGTCTAGTGGTAGGACGCCGGGCTCGTGACCGAAGGGTTGCGGGTTCGAGTCACGACACTGTGATGTATCTTTGAGCTAGATACTTTACTCCGCTTGTTCAAGTCTACTCAGCTGTAAATGAGTACGTGGCTTTGCAGTGCTGGAATTGTTGAATGCTAGCTGTGAACGCCGAAATGGCAGCACCGGCTGTATGCTCCCCAGGGAGTTGAGAAAGATATTGGCTGGTTGCAAAGGCCCTATAAGCACGGATAATAGTTTGTGAACCGTTTTGAGACGACCTACGAACTAGGTTGTGATAAAGAGGTATATAAAAACCTCGAATTATTATTAATTAGTATTATTATCAGGATAAAGTAGTTGTAAACTAAAAGTTGTAATTGTATAATCTTTTAACGGGTTTGTATGTTTCTACTTTATATGTATTTCTACATATATTTCTCCTTTATATGCATTTCTACATATATTTTTCCTTTATATGTATTTCTACATACATTTCTACTTCACATATATTTCTACATATATTTGTACTTGATATGTATCTCTACAAATGTTTTTCTACTTTATATGCATTTCTACATATATTTCTCCTTTATATGCATTTTTACATACATTTCTACTTTACATCTATTTCTACATATATTTCTACTTGATATGTATCTCTACAAGTATGTTTTTCTACTTTATATGTATTTCTACATATATTTCTCCTTTACATGTATTTCTACATATATTTCTCCTATATATGTATTTCTGCATATATTCCTCCTTTATATATATTTCTACATATATTTCTCCTTTATATGTATTTCTACATATATTTCAGAACATTTTATACATGTTATTCTTTCTTTTGGCCTCCAGTTTCGTTGTTAATTTTTAAATGGACGAAATTGTCATTTGTTGATATGTTTGTTCTTTTTAGCATTTTTTTCTTTATATTTCCTATAAAACAGTTTGCTTTGGAATTTTTAAAATGTATGTGGGTAGTATTCACTAAACGTATTTTGAAAACAGGAAATACATCTCATTCAAGCCCATCAAAACTTTCAAATGTTTTTTTTAATTTTTACTGATTTCTAGTTTTTATTTTGTACAAAAGATATGGATGCAACATGGGAACCCAATGCCAAATGGAATCTGGAAAAAAGATGGAACACACAGTTAACATTGAGAATACTGTGTAAAATTATTGGCCCTAGCTGATAAAAAGCCTTGTTAATTTTAAACAGTGGTTAGAGACAAATTCAAATTGTTGTCAACAAGAAACAAGGGCCTTCAAAGCAAACTCAATCCTCCAACACCTCTTATTTGTATCAGCAAATCTCTAGCAGTAAAATGACATCAGATGTTCTTTATTTTGTTATATTCATATGTTTAAGTATCCCTAACCTCTCATTAACTCTTTAACAACCTTTGAGCAGCTGGGCCCAATATTTGAAATCTTGACACACAGTTTTTGTTGCTTTCAACGACGAAATTTATCTTTTTATGTCTTTCTCTCAGATCTTGAAATATTTTTATCAAATCAATATATGTATTTTTTCATAATTAATGGATTTTACCATGCACATTTAATGTAGGGTGATATTATATTATAAACGGAGATCATTTTAAATCACAACAGACTCCTTTTTCTACGAGAAATTTTCAGTTTGCAGTTCTAAATTACCGTAATAATTTTCGTTTAGCACATTTAGATCATTAATATAATTTGTTCAACATTGAACTGACATATAAATATTGAGTACACTTGCCCTCATGAGGAATTCGATTTCATGAAAGCATATTGTTCCATATCATCTTCTTAACTATAACTTTAAATCTGTATTGCCTGTCAGGAGAATATTGAAGCAAGTTTAATTTAGTATATTATTTACAAATCCTAACCATTTAAAAGGAAGTCCCAAATTGTGGTGCAACTTAAACATTTACTTATACAGAATACTTGATATCTTCGTGTCGCTCGTTAGTAACTCGAGAAAAAATAAACCATGTCAAGTTTTCATTTCACCGAATGTGTTAATATTTGACATGATAACATCATGTTTGAACTGCCTTACCTTTATACTAATTGTTCTCCGAGACGACGTGTGATCATGGCAATAGTGATACAAAAACAGACAACTCCTGAAATAGAATAACCGACATGCTTAATATTACAACTGATAAATGTAAATCATCTCTGCTGAATTCCGTCTTTGCGTATTGCAGAGTTATCTTCTCTTGGGAGCAGGTATTGATTGTTACGTCATTGGTTTGTGTGAGAAAATGACGTCGTTTTCTCAAAAATTGATGACGTTACTCTCACAAACAAGTGACGTAATAATCGATACCTGCTCCCAAGAGGAGATAACTCTGCAATACGCAAAGACGGAATAGTAAATATATAACAATTTCCCTAAAAGATGCGTACCACAGAGTAGGCAAATAACGTTTGTCACCCTCAAAGTAATTATATAACGATTTCCCTAATGGATGTCTGTCACAGAGTAGGTAAATAATGTTTGTCAGCCTCAAAGTACATGACGAGTTTCCTAGAGGATGTCTGCCGCAGTGTAGGTAAAGGACGAGTTTCCTAGAGGATGTCTGCCGCAGTGTAGGTAAATGACGAGTTTCCTAGAGAATGTCTGCGGCAGTGTAGGTAAAGGACGAGTTTCCTAGAGGATGTCTGCCGCAGTGTAGGTAAATGACGAGTGTCCTAAAGGATGTCTGCCGCAGTGTGAGTAAATGACGAGTTTCCTAAAGGATGTCTACCGCAGTGTAGGTAAATGACAAGTTTCCTAAAGAATGGCTACCGTAGTGTAGGTAAATGACGAGATTCCTAAAGGATGTCTGCCACAGTGTAGGTAAATGACGAGTTTCTTAAAGGATGTCTGCCACAGTGTAGATAAAGGACGAGTTTCCTAGAGAATGGCTGCCGCAGTGTAGGTAAATGACGAGTTTCCTAAAGGATGTCTGCCGGAGTGTAGGTAAAGGACGAGTTTCCTGAAAGATTTCTGCCGCAGTGTAGGTAAATGACGAATTTCCTGAAAGATGTCTGCCGCAGTGTAAGTAAATGACGAGTTTCCTAAAGGATGTCTGCCGCAGTGTAGGTAAAGGACAAGTTTCCTAAAGGATGGCTGCCACAGTGTAGGTAATGACGAGTTTCAAAAAGGATGGCTGCCGCAGTGTAGGTAAATGACGAGTTTCCTAGAGGATATCTGCCGCAGTGTAGGTAAATGTCGAGTTTCCTAAAGGATGGCTGCCGCAGTGTAGGTAAATGACGAGTTTCCTAAAGGATGTCTGCCGCAGTGTAGGTAAATGACGAGTTTCCTAGAGGATGTCTGCCGCAGTGTAGGTAAATGATGAGTTTCCTAAAGGATGTCTGTCGCAGTGTAGGTAAATGACGAATTTCTTAAAGGATGTCTGCCAAAGTTTAGGTAAATGACGAATTTCCTGAAGGATGTCTGCCGCAGTGTAGGTAAATGACGAGTTTCCTAAAGGATGTCTGCCGGAGTGTAGGTAAAGGACGAGTTTCCTGAAAGATTTCTGCCGCAGTGTAGGTAAATGACGAATTTCCTGAAAGATGTCTGCCGCAGTGTAAGTAAATGACGAGTTTCCTAAAGGATGTCTGCCGCAGTGTAGGTAAAGGACAAGTTTCCTAAAGGATGGCTGCCACAGTGTAGGTAATGACGAGTTTCAAAAAGGATGGCTGCCGCAGTGTAGGTAAATGACGAGTTTCCTAGAGGATATCTGCCGCAGTGTAGGTAAATGTCGAGTTTCCTAAAGGATGGCTGCCGCAGTGTAGGTAAATGACGAGTTTCCTAAAGGATGTCTGCCGAAGTGTAGGTAAATGATGAGTTTCCTAAAAGATGTCTGCCGCAGTGTAGGTAAATGACGAGTTTCCTAAAGGATGTCTGCGGCAGTGTAGGTAAATGACGAGTTTCCTAAAGGATGTCTGCCGCAGTGTAGGTAAAAGACGAGTTTCCTAAAGAATGTCTGCCGCAGTGAAGGTAACGATTCTTCTGGTTTGGAGTTGCTTGCCAAAATGAGGGTACATCGCAATTTCCATGTGAGATGTTGGCAACAGAGACGTAAACTAATTTCCTTCCCTAAAAGATGTTTGCTGCTGAGTAAGAAAATAACGACTACCATAGAGGATATTTTCGGAATTGTAAGTAGTGACCGATGTCAGTGGTGAATGACTGCCGCAGGGCTAGAGCATTGGAATTTCCCTTTGAGACGTCTACATCAGAGAACATGCATAGGCCTAACGATGTTTGTAGGAGTTATCTGCAGAAAATAAGGTAAATAGCGATTCTCCTTGGAGCTGTTTACCTCAATATATATGCAAAATGATTTTAAACGGGTCAATACATCATGATGTACATGTATTGTATCTCGACATTTTCTGACAGCTGCATTTACTTTTTCGGCACATTCTTGCTTAGTGAGTTGTTTCTAGCGGTTTCGAGTCAAGAAACCGGTCATTTGCACTTTTTGCTTGACAAAGAAAACCGACGTTTTCGAAAGCTAGCAAACTAAGTTTTGATTTACTGTTTGTGTTCAAAACAAACTTAGCATTTAGTATCCAAACCAAACATATGAATCTCATTCCGAACATAACGATTTACCTTTGAGATATCATCATCGGATCACCACTGTTTACTTTTCACAGTCAAACACTTCAAGATATAAATTGTAGCTTTAAAAGAAGCGTAGCCTAAAGGTCAATTCTGAACAGTTTTGAGTCTTCCCTGTGCATTGAGAACAAAAGTTATGGTATTTTTTTGGAACTCGATTGTTGTTTACCATAAACGTAAACCTAAAGTTAAATTCAATATTAAACATACACATTTGTCTCCCACACTTCACATATGCATTCCTGATTTTTCAAGGGGAAAAAGTATACCTGTCTTTACCTACCTGTAGGGAAACACATTGCACATGCTTATTCTGAAAACATCACAATCGCGTCATCATATTATGCAGTGTAACCAGGGTGGCGTCACCAATATTGTCCCATTTATGGTACGGTGCATTTGGTTCATAAATACAACACATTTTTACGATCAGAAACTGAGGGTGGCGCAGTGGATAGAAAACTAGATTCCACGATCGGACGTAAAATGATATGGGGTCACCTGCCCGACCACGCGGGTTTTCACTGGGTACTCTTGTTTTCTCCCACATTAATACCCCCGCGCGCTTACATCCGGGCCAACAAAAGTGGTTTTTATAAGTTGAAATAACTTGTTTCATAATTGTTGAAATAATTAACAATTTTTTTGTAAACTTATTCAAAGAAGTTCTCGATCCGTGCACAAGGCTGCCAGGAATAGTTTATAAAAATCTTTATATAGCAAGTTACACTTTTTAGCACCAGTTTTTCTAAGCATCAAACTTATTCGCATCTGACTTATATTCATTCAGTGTGGTTTAGTCACTGCGAACCCATCATTCATAGAGAGCGCTGGTTGTTTTTAATGAGGAAGTAACAAATCTGGTTTGATACCAAGAATTCAAGGTATTCATACATGTATGTTAATAATTTGATTGATTGATATCAGGAAATCTAATTTGTGATATAAAAAATGATTTTCTCATATGTAAAATTATTTTGAGGTTTTTGGAATAATTTTGTGATATTAGTAATTCGACTAAATGATATCAACATTTCAACGTTTGAAAAAACAACTGTGTCTGTTGAAATGCGTGGTAAAACCATCGGTCAACTGTCGTTTGACAAATAGCTTCTAGCTTTAGCTCTAAATAGATGGGAAAATAATAATCAAAAAACATATTGATATTTGAAATAATGTCCAAGAAGAAAGAGTCTCACCTGCTTCCATGAGAGATTCAGCTCCAGCATGACTGCCTGGTTGTGGTGTGTCACCAGCGGGTAATGCTGTGTGAAGAGAAACAAATAAAATAAATAGATTATTAACATTTTATGTGTCTAACTCCCTTTTAAAAGAAAGAAAAAGACTTTGTTCTTAATGTGAATTCAGTAATATTTAGAATTAGTGTAATAAGAAGATTGCATATAGTTTACATATATAATTTACATATACAGTGTATTATAAACACTCACCCCTCTCTTTACCCGGATATTCACAAATGTAGCCAGCCAGTTCCAGGCTAGCCACACACATATCCGTCGCCCATCCTCCTGCCCCTGGGTCTAACATCAAGCAGCCAAACTCCGCAGATCCCTGGGGTTCGCCGTCGTTAAAGGCCACAAACCCAGTACCCGGATCTGACAGAACGTGAACAAACAGAGATTTTATTTGGTTATTTATGTGATTTTGTTTAATAGTCATCTATTTATTTTCACATTTTGTCTTATTAAACTAGTACGATTTAAAAAGTTGCTCTGTCGTTATACATAAAAGGTTAGTTGTGAGGATTTTGCTATTAAGACAGACGGTTTAAAGTTTTGGCAGATTTTTAATTCCTATTTTAATCCTTAAGCTTGAGAGACTGTTTGTTGTAGAAACAAACCATCCAGTTATATATATAATGGTCCGTGACCAGGATATCAAAGGGCTTGTTTTTCTTGTTTGTTTTGAAACAGCTTTAGAAAAGAAATGAGTAACTTTCTTTACCGGCATTAACTAGAGATAGTATGCAACTGCAAGCAAATGAAAAATACAGTCAAAACCAGTTTGAAAATAATATTATCGTTGAAATTCAAAGCAACAAAGAGAAAGAAAATCCTTTACGGTATCAAGCAGTAGTTTTCGGGAAAATGGGTCTGTTTAAATAAAATAAATAATAGACCAAATCTTTATCTCAAAATTACTTGTATGACCCGAAGTCTCCCATGTCTTCAATGACTTTCAAACTTAGAATAAACGATTTTTATTTTTTTTAGAAATCAGGGTCAGAAGAATCAATAATATTTACCTCGCAGCCATGTTACACCCGTTACTATGGAATCCACTTTGCCGCCTATCCAATAGAACGACACATTAGCCAGGTTACTGTAGTCAAGGTTGGTAGACAGTTTTATCAGGGCCGTATTCACTGTCAAATCAGGAATGCTCGCAAGCGTTCCGTTATTTAACCGGCACCTGGTGACGGCGTCATTCCATGAGACGGCGTCTTGAGCTAGATGGTAGCATTGAGCATTTACAAGTACCACCTGATGTTTTACATATGCATCAATGTGACCACAGCTCACTGGTAAAAAGACAAAACATAGCATATGAGGTCATGTTATTGGACAAAAGCACTTCGATCTATTACCAGAAATATAGAGGACATAAAACACGTAAATCCATAGATAGAGTTGGGAAGGTGTGTGTTCCAGTCAGTTAGTTCAATTCCCCCGTCACCTATGTGACATACTTACACTCTGTTCGGACAATGGTAGCCGAGTACAGCAATAGTAGCATTGCTGACCGTGTCCGAAACACAAAGTCCTTGAATGTTGAACTCATTCTTCACTTAAACATGAAACGTGGGAATGGTTGGCTCTTCCATCACATCCACAATAAAAGCCCTAGCTGTAGCATCCGGGAACCACACACATACATTTTTATATCCGTTCAGGAAACCATTTTGTACGTGTGTATATCGTCAACATCTGTTGATCCATGTGAGAATTTCCTGCACAATTTATAGAGCAATGGCCTCGAAGGCAAATAGGTCATCCAGCGGTAGGACTCCCATTGGAGACCGGATTAGTAGTATATAGTCCGGGGGTTCTACTCATATAGAAGCACTTCTTGAGCACTGGAAAAGTCATCTGTAGCACCGGCTTCGACTCCTAGTGATGACGCGAGTTACATTATTTCTTAAGTATTATGTACATATACTAATTGTCTTCCTAAGTGTTCACCTGCTATACCTGTAGATCATTTATATATAGATAATTAGAGGAATATCTAGAAGTAAACCAAAATTTGATGTAGCAAAGTATGCCATCGAATTCGATTTAAATATGTAATGCTCTCTAAGTTTAATCATACTATGTATGTGATTCTTGGAATGTCGTTTGAGGATTTTAACATAACTAGTCATTTTGACCCTAAAAGTCGTTTAATGTTAGTTACTTAAAAACCTTGATACATTGTCAAGCTACTGGTCATATAAACCACTCTTGGTAGCGTGTTTTTAAGAAGAACTTACTAGTTAGATATTTAACACATTTGAACTGATTGCACTTAAAACGGGTCAAGGTAATTTATTTGACTAACCTCGATAGTTTTCACTTCGGCAATCTAAGGAGCAAACTTAACGAGACGTCCTATATTATTTTACACAGTTAAACGCTGTGACATTGAAAGTAATTAAACTTAAGTTATTCATTTGAACAGTATAGATAGTCCTGCCCTCCAGTTAGAGAAAGTGACGTATATTTGAAAGTGCCGTAAGTCTTTCGCGTTATGTACATGTAAATTTCCCAGCGGATTCTATGTTATTTTTTTTAAAATTATTGTGAATGTTTTGCTTTTTCCTTCGCTTTTAGTCAAAAATTGAAGAAATTTGGAACAACGCCAGGATATTATTTCGCACCTCTTTTGGTAATATCAATGTAATTACCGTGATTTTTACGGCAAAATGTGACACTGTGTCCAGGGGAATTGCGTCCAAGTACAAAATTTATGCTGGAATGAGCCACGGAAAATATTACCATAGGGAACATTTTTTTTTTAAATAAAAGTAAACATATATATAACATATAATCCAATGGGAAAATGACTAACAATAAAGACATTTTATGTATCAAGAATAGTATGCCCTTCTTTTACGCGTCCACTGAATTACATCACGTATCTTAAAAACTACATGTGTCTTGATATTGTTTAAGAAAGAAATAACGCAAATTGGCATTAGTCAGCATTTTGGTTTCGGTCAGATACGTCTGGACCCCTCAATCTACACGTACCAAATTTTCCTGAGGTCAGCCTCGGTCCAGATCTATACCTGTCGTTTTCTTTACAGGTTCAACCGGTTCAACCGTTTCAACCGGTTATCAAGCGTCTGGTTAACCGAGACTACACAGACTCTCAAGTGATCAAGCATCTGGTTGACCGAGACTATCTTTTGTCGCTTCCTTTTATCATGTTCTAGACGGCTTGGTCTAATTTAACAACAGTTATTTTTTAAATAGAAACAAACCTTATGTCTTGAGATTGTATTTGAACTAGCAGACAGACATTTTAAAGGAACTAATAAATTGACCATTAAACTTTACGACTGAAAATGAAGTTTTTAAATAGTACCCAAATCAGTCGGCCCTTATAAATGGAAGACCTCTGTCGTACATAGCGGTTATAGGACTTTTATAAGCGACACCAGTTGTACAGGTAGGTTTCTGCGCATTTAATAACACAGTACTTATTTCGTTGTTTCGACCACTAGATTTAGTCTTATGCTTAGTAGACATGCATACAGGCTTATGATACATTGTTACATTTGTAGTAATTCGATAATCAGCTTGGTGGGTAAGGAGGGGGCGGGGGGTGGCGGGGGTGTACTTTCTCTTTGTTTACTGGTCAGTTACCCAGGTGCTCGGGTCTTGGAATATATGTGATATATTATCGCACCCCTTATACTAGGATTTATTAGTATAAGGGGGTGCGATATCTAGTGGGGTGCGATAATATATCACAAATATTCCAGAACCCGAGCACCTGTGATCAGTTGTTTTGGTTTAGTGTATATCAACACTGACATGTATGCGAAGTCTATGTAATCTTCATCTCTTTAAAGCTGTCAAGCTACACTGCACAGGGGCACGCAATTACATTGTACTAATATTATTGAGGTTTTTTTTAACTTTCATATTGAAAGTCTATAACAAACCAGAGACGTATTATATACGTCTCTGAACAAACACAATATTAACAGTTATAAGTAAATTGCAGATCGATGTTTTGGTGATGATAATGATGATGATTAAGTACCATAATGATGATGATTGAGTACCATAATGATGATGATTAAGTACCATAATGATGATAACATTTTATATATTGTTTTGGTGATGATAATGATGATGATCAAGTACCATAATGATGATAACATTTTATATATTGTTTTGATGATGATAATGAGGATGTTGATGATTGTACATGTTATGATGTAAAGTTTTAAATAATGGTGAGGATATGAGTGTTATGCTGAAACATGGGTAGTTAAAAAATTGCAATTGTTTTTGTGAGAAAGTGTATGTATATATGTATGCAATGTATTGAAGAAAAGGATTGAAAAATAAAATAAATTATGACAAAACAGCAGTAAATTGTATGTTGTTGTTTTCAAGTACGTACACCAAGTCTTAGATTTGAAATCGAGAGATGTAGATTTGTGCAACTTCTTCATTGAAGGTATCGTATAATATTGTAATAATGACAATTCTCTATCATGCATGTTTATTGTCTGCTTTTGTCACAGAATCATGAGTACTGCCAGACCATTCAGGATTTGGAGTTATGACAGAAGTGTGAAGAAGGGGATCATCGCTTCTTCATTGGACGAGCTTCGTAAGAAAGGTAAACAACACCTGAATATTTTTATAACCAAGAGATATATATATTAATTAACAAACTTATTACTATTCGGACCAATGTAAATTTGATCTGGATAAATAGGCATCCAGTATTATATTATGGTACATGTGTATTATATCATTTTTTCACTATAACACATAAATTTGGTATTTCTTTGTCCTCATCCATGAGAACCAGCCTTTCCCGAAATTCTTGCACAAAATTCCTAATCTATATATCAATTTATTTAGATGTGAATGTGCACAAGAGAACAGGAAACAAATAATTTTCTTGAAATGGTATTTAGACAAATTTAATCTTCTGGTTAGAGAAACCACAGACTTAAATAGCTAATTATGTAGACAAACTATACAGAAACATAGTTTAGTTTATCCCCTGATTTACATCTTTAAACTGTACAGGTAAAGAGAAGGTAGGGCTGCTACCTGAGGAACCTGTACAGGTAGTACTGGAGGAAGATGGTACGGAGATTGACGATGATGATTACTTCTTGTTCCTCCCCCAAAATACAACACTGATGCTCCTAGCTAGGGATCAACGCTGGGCAGTAGAAGGCAAAGGTAATTTGATTTAATTGTTTTCATACCTCCCCTTAAGAACACCCGACGCTCCAGGGATCAGCACTGGGCAGCAAAGGATAAAGGTCAACAATATCAATTTAGGACTGTGATCGACTCTTGAAAGTATTGTGATAAATTGTACATCAATTTATTTGGGTTACTGAATAGACTTAAGTCTGCTTAAAGTGATCAAAATTTATACAAGTAAATTTTTGCTTAAAGATACTATAATCTAGGTTATTTTGATTTTTAGTATTTCTAAAACATTACTAGTAAACTTCATTTCCTGTTTGAATTCATAGCATAGGAGCACTTTGATATTATGAGACTTTATACCTAGCACACTAAGAAGTGGCATGCATGCATGGTGTAAATCTATGGTATATATGAGTCTATCTTCAGATTCAAGGGTTCCCAGTTTTTACCTTATCTGTACATTTATTGTAAATATATAGAAAGCCATAACTATACCTTGTTCTATTCCTACTTCACATAAACCCAAACAAACTATTTATTGAATGATGAATAATATGAAAGGTGAAACTGGCCAATGGTGACATATATTTGGCCCAAATTTGGGTTTGAAGCCATTTTAGCATACCTAGTGCAAAGGACCAAGGCAAGTTTAACAGAATTTCATCAGAGGGCTGAAAGTGGGCCCAAAAATTGGAAATTTGGCAAAATGGATTTAAGCAACTTCTCTCGAACATTATGTGCGATATATAAATCAACCCTGTTTGGTAGGAAACATCCACAGGTGGCAATAATTCATTCATAACTGTAAAAATCAATGATAGGTAGATACATTGATTAAAGATGACTACATTGTACTCCTGTATCGCCGCCATATTGAATTTTAAGAAAAAGTTTGATCTGGAATTAATGCACTTCTTCTTGAAATCCAAGACTGATTACCCCATAACTTAACCTGGTATGTCACAGAGGGCCGGTCGGGACAGGACGAGCCAGACTTCATGACCAGTAACGAGGGACAAGAAATCTCAGAAAGGACAGTTGAGCTGATCACAGGTCTTCAAAGGGACATAACTCGCCTCATAGCCTTCTCCAACAATGACTTACAGGTGATTTAGCTGTCTGCAAATTTCACATGCGTCATGGTTTTCCATTTCCAAGAGGTTTCTATATTACTGACAGCATCATGGAAGTAACCATGTTTAATGTTTAATGTTGTACAAGTGAGATTTCCACTGTTTATTTACGAGTAAAACTAATGTATATTTATTTGCTTTCATGGCGTTTGAATTTTGTCAACAACCACAGTTACATCCGTCAGCATTTAAATAAATATTTAAATTAAATCTGTAACATTACATTTGCTAGGGTGTGATTGACCTCAGTGTCCCAGCATTAGCCAGCCTCCTCCACGACACAGAAAGTTTTGCAGAGGCAGTACAGGAAGCTTGTCAGCGCCACCTGGATGAGAGAACACAGACTTCAGAAGCCATGGACCTGCTGCGATTGTATCACACATCCAGACAAAAAAGTAATCTCATTATTGGAGAGGATTCTTCATCAAAGAGACCAAAATTTGCCAATATTTGATCTGTCCTGTAATTGAATTATAGTGCCTTCATTTCTAAAATGTGCAATTTCTGTGTGTATTTGTGTATGTGTTTAGTAAAGGAAATGTAGCTTTCCACTTTTACAGTTACCTAGTTATGATTTGTAAAATCAAGTATCTGTTATGTGTATTATAAAAATAAAATTAGGCAGCATTTATATTATCACCTGACCGTGGCTGCACTTGTGATCACCTGTGTTGGAACTTGTGATAACATGTGTGACCTTTTTATATCACCTAATTGTAGCAGCAATTGTGATGGCCTTTGACAACTCATGGGTGGCAACACTCATGATTGCCTTTGTGGCAGCAGTTGTGATCAACTGTGTGGTAACACTCGTGACTTCCTGTGTGGTAACACTTGTGACTATATCTGTGTGGAAACACTTGTGACTACCTGTGTGGCACACTCATGACTACCTGTGTGGCACACTTGTGACTACCTGTGTGGCACACGTGTGACTACCTGAGTGGCACACTTGTGACTACCTGTGTGGCACACGCGTGACTACCTGTGTGGAAACACTCGTGACTATATCTACATGTGTGGCACACTTGTGATTGCCTCTGTTGCACACTCATGACTATCTGTGTGGCACACTCGTGACTATATCTACATGTGTGGCACACTCGTGACTATATCTGTGTGGCACACTCGTGACTATATCTGTGGCACACTCGTGACTATACCTTTGTGGCACACTCGTGACTATATCTGTGTGGCACACTCTTGACTATATCTGTGGCACACTCGTGACTATATATGTGTGGCACACTCGTGACTACGTGTGTGGCACACTTGTAATTGCCTCTGTGGCAGTATTCGTGATTGACAGTGTTGTAACTTGTGTTCATCTATTTGTGATTGCCTGGGTGGCATCACTCCTTGACCTGGACTTTTCATAGGATTGTGAATTGAAGAAATACATTCCTTAATTACTGTCTCGGAGTAAAACTGTGTGTTGTAAATAAATTAGTTTAACTAAGTTTAATCTCAACGCAGGCATATGATTATGTTTTTGTTAATCTATAATGGTTATAGATAAATATTGATAAAATAACACATATAAGAAAATTGGTAAGCCCAGTGAAATTTTGAATTTCAATGCTGTAAGCATAATTAATTAGTTACTTGTGGGTCACATTGTTCATATTGTGCATTTTTTTGAGATTTTTTTTATTAAATTATGAAACACTGAAATATTATTCGTCTAGGAAGTAGTGGAATCTCATTAGTAAGGAATACTGCAAAAATCTTTTTACAGGAAAAATAGAATCTCCTATGTGCAAGAAATAAAGGGATCGCTGAACAGACATTTTTGGCAGCTCACTATGTGTTTTGCACGAATAGCTTAATTTGCAATCTATCAGTATATATAATCTGTTTGCAGAAAAATTATCAACATTGCCATTTTTATTTGCAAAATATGACATTCTTTTTATTGTTTTTAAAGTGTTCAAGATTGTATCAGTTTCAATGCATCAGTACACCTTTAATAATGTGTAGTAGACATGATGAAAAAATATCTTGTGAAATTTCATCTTCTAGAGACGAAAGATAGATGCCAGTATATTTTCACTGAACCCAAAATATATTTTTTTTTATCAAAAACGGTTGAATGTAACTCATAGTGATAAGTAAAAAAAATAATAAATCTGGTTACCTGTATTCAAAGGGTGGAATTTATGATGTAAGGAGTTATCCCCCTTACTTAAATTACAATGGTGGGGTAATTATTAAAATTTTAGAATAAGTTAATGCAAATTTGAAAAGTCTTGTTTGCCTCAGTTATGATACATTTGTATATTTGAAATTATTCAAACATATAGGTATGTGTAATAAACTATCATCCCAATTTAGCTAGATGCACTGTAAATGTTTATAATTCAGGGATATAGACTTATTATATCACCGTTTTATCTTATCATTTTAAGTAACATATTAAATTCTTTTCTTATTTAATTTTCGTTAAGCAGTTGATAATAAATCATCACACCTAGGCAATTATTGCAGAATATCAAAATTCAGAAGAAAAAAATCAACATTTGTGATTTAATGTCTTTAAGACAATAAAATTACAAGCAAATTACGTCTACACCATTTATCCAGTTACGAAACTTGAAAGTTTGTAGGTTGAATGTCGCTTGTTTCAGTGTCGTGTATCTGTTAGATCTTTCTCATGCTTTTATATTTTTAATAAAATATCTAATCAAAGGAGTATACAAATTTGTTTCTTCTTGTTATATGTACGTTTCCTTAAGATACAGTGAAACCTGATTAAACTTACACCTGACTGGGAGGACATTCGGTAATATCAGACATGATCTTGTGTCTCCGATATGACTGCTTATAAACTGTGTGTGTAACTCTGACCTTACAGACACACGGTCATATCTGACCGTTGATGTCAGTAAAGACAGGTTTCTCTAGTGCATCTGTGTTTTACATTTAAAAGATATGTCATAGTTAGAGGCGTCACGATTCACCGCGATGCACTTGTACCGCGATTACTTATGTTCGATTCGATTCACGATATATTTCCGAATTTTCGATACGTCACGATCTGAATATTAGTGTTTTCATAACAAAATGGCGGACTGCCGTAAGGAAATAAAAATGCTCGGGCAAGCTTAAAATCATAAGTGTGGAAACACTGCAGGTTTCCGTGTATCGACGGCTTGTATATCTCATTTTGTTTATATTTTAAAGCAAAGGTGTATTAAATCGAAATAATGGAATCGTGGTACAAATATCGAGATACGTATCGAATCGTAGGTAAAGTGTATTGTGACAGCTCTAGTCATATGTGTATACCAGGTAAAATTTGTCCATACTGGTAAAACCCATATTTACCTAGTGTTGTTTTCTCGTTTCACTTGTAATTTCAGTACAGTATGGTGTGTATTGATATTACCAGTCTTAATCAATTTGCCCTCATTATGGAGGGGTAAAGTTAAACTGTGGCAAACATTTTCTGGCTCAAAGTAACATCAAGAAATTCAGACTTTCCAGTTTAACATCATTTATTATGACAAATACACAAAGCAACATTAAAGTTATAGAAATACATGGTATTTCCTTGTAAATGAAATCTGGTGAGATGATATACATCACAACATAAAACGACACTTACAGTTTCCCGCCACACCAAACCATTATAAACTAATCCTCACAAATCGTGGAACGTCACATGTACAACAAACTTTCATAAAACCAATCCTTGTAGTTCTCGGAACAAAACGTGCACAAAACCTGAACAACACACCTCCTTCGAAGCCAATCCTCCTAGATGTCTGAACAAAACCTGAACGACACACTTCTGTTGAAGCCAATTCCTTATAGATCTCGGAATAAAACCTGAACAATATACTTCAGTTGAAGCCAATCCTTGTAGATCTCGGAATAAAACCTGAACAATATACTTCAGTTGAAGCCAATCCTCGTAGATCTCCGAACAAAACCTGAACAACACCCCTCCTTTGAAGCCAGTCCTCATAGTTATCAGAACAAAATGCGAACAACACACTTCTGTTGAAGCCAATCCTTAAAGATTTGGAATAAAACCTGAACATTATACTTCAATTGAAGCCAATCCTTGTAGATCTCGGAGTAAAACCTGAAAAATATACTTCAGTTGAAGCCAATCCTCGTAGATCTTGGAACAAAACCTGAACAACCCACCTCCTTTGAAGCCAGTCCTCATAGTTATCAGAACAAAATGCGAACAACACACTTCTGTTGAAGCCAATCCTTGTAGATCTCGGAGTAAAACCTGAAAAATATACTTCAGTTGAAGCCAATCCTCGTAGATCTCCGAACAAAACCTGAACCACACACCTCCTTTGTAGCCAATCCTCATAGTTATCAGAACAAAACCTGAACGACACACTTCTGTTGAAGCCAATTCCATATAGATCTCGGAATAAAACCTGAACAATATACTTCAGTTGAAGCCAATCCTCGTAGATCTCCGAACAAATCCTGAACAACACACCTCCTTTGAAGCCAATCCTCATGGTTATCAGAACAAAACCTGAACGACACACTTCTGTTGAAGCCAATCCTTAAAGATTTGGAATAAAACCTGAACATTATACTTCAGTTGAAGCCAATCCTCGTAGATCTCCGAACAAAACCTGAACCACACACCTCCTTTGTAGCCAATCCTCATAGTTATCAGAACAAAACCTGAACGACACACTTCTGTTGAAGCCAATCCTTATAGATTTGGAATAAATCCTGAACATTATACTTCAGTTGAAGCCAATCCTCGTAGATCTTGGAACAAAACCTGAACAACCCACCTCCTTTGAAGCCAGTCCTCATAGTTATCAGAACAAAAGGTGAACAACACACTTCCATAAAAGCCAACCATCAAACAGATCATAGGCATACACAACTTTTAAGAAGGATTTTAATGGAACTTATTGGTTCCCTGAAGGAATAAATATTAATAGAAATGAAAATCATGGCTAATATGGAGGTGTGCTCTAGGAAACTTGCCACAATATACTGTAACTCTGTAGTTTATAATTATTGCACGGTCCAACATAGGCCTCTTCCCGAAGTGATGAAATGTTCAAAATTTAATAAATTTAACTATATATAGAACGCACTTCAGCAGCGACATCTTTTCAAACAAGGTTAAAAAATAAACTGACAGAAAAACAAAGATGAAAAGGTTAAGGGTCTTTAAATGAGGAAGATTAAAATACATTTCTTAAAATGTGAACTGTTTTTAGTATATAAATTTTGTATCTTTCTGTAAGCCTGTACCCATCATCATTGTATAATATTAACAGAAGAAGATTTTAACTTTCAACACTATCTGTAAGGTAGAAAATATTGAATCATATTTTAGATTAAAGGGAAAGTATAACATGAAAATGGAATAAAATTCAATGAAATTGCAACTTATGGAATTTTGAGATTGCTGATTCAATTAGGCTAGCTGTTTTCTGCATACAAACCAGTAAATGAAATAGATAATTGTATAGACAAAAAGTTTCTTTAACATGAATCCAGAAAGAATATTTCAGCACAATTTTTTGAAACCTCACTATCTGGAGGACTACTGGTTGAATGTTAGTGTTTCCTAAGAAGTCAGAACGAATCCTTTGTGACACAGCACCAGTAAATTGTCTGTTTCAGCTGGCTCCCAGGGACTTGACAACAGACTTGAGCCGTCTGTACTCCCCGTTAATGTCCAGTAATTGTTTGGGGAAGACAACTCCTTGCTCTTTGTATGCGGCTTCTATCTTGCTCATTATCACTTCCAGCACAAACTGGGCATTCTTCAGGATAAATTTGTGCTGCAAAACAAGAAAAGAAAATTCCTCTCTTTAATGGTAGTAAACACACAAAAAACAACTTTGACGTTAGAAATTATAATTTCAAACTCAAAACCATTTTTCAGTAACATATATGAATGTTTTCATCTTAATAAGCAAATAAAGGGCATTGGTATCATCATGGCATTTGTCAAATACAGTAATTATTGTATTTTTTAAGCAGAATATGGTATTCTACAATGTAATAAAATTTTGTAGCCCTGTCAACTATTTTTAGGCTTTTTGGCCCATAAATTGGAGGCTAATTTTGATGTGAATTTATAACTCCCGAGTGGCAACATTGTTAAGTGTAGACTTTGCAATGTAAAGGTACTGAGTGTGACCCCTGCAGTTTTTCTGTTTTCATTTTTTTCTTTTTCTTTTCAAACATGCAAATTTTGAACAACGATGTAATTTCAAAAGAAATATTTCTTTAAAAAAAAACAAAATAGAATTAATATAGTGACACTGATGATAACATAGTTGGATTTGTTGGAACCCATTACCTTATCTGGCCATATAGTTAATTAAAAAAGGGATTCAAGGAATATATATGATTTACTACTTTTTACTACTTTTGAATATTAAATATAAAATGCTGTAATATAAAATATTAACCCAAAAACTGAATTTGAAGTTAAAGTACAAATAGTTTTTTTTTTTTGTTGAATTCTAGACTTGCAACATAGGAATGTACCTCTCTGTTAAAGTTTTTATTCCTGATCGAATCCTCTATGTGAGTGACCTCTGCACGGAATATATCAGCGATGGCCTCCGTGACAAGATGATCTATCTCAGGTGTGTGAACCAACAGGACGTCGTGGGCAAAGGACAAACAAGATTTGGAGAAGTTGGCAGTATTCATCGTCAAATTGATGAAACAAGCATCTAAAATAACAAACACAAAGTGAACAGTGTGGAATGTTACAAAACATCTTTTGTAGTGGAATGAGGCTCATAGCGTATGCAAATTATATTTGAAACTAAATTGCCATTATTAGCCAACCAACACGTTGTAGCAATCATTTTGGATGATTATAAACTGTATACTGGATAACCTTTCGGTCCTTCCCTGGTAAAATCCAAGTTTAATTTGCAGCGCTTGCATTTTGCCCTTCACATGTAATCACAGTATGTCGTATGTTGTGTTATAATTTGCAGTCAGGCCTTGATCAAGGAGGGCGTAAATAGCAAGACTAAAGCTGCGGAGAACATTGCTTATAACACAGCATATAGCTTTTATGGTCATGGTATTTTGTAGATGTTGTACATGAAGATAAGACTTACCGTAGATATAGTTTTTGAGATCCAGACCTCCGGCTGACATCTCCTCGACAAACTTGAGACAGTCTGTGTGACTAAGATGGTTCATTGGACGCCATTTATCATCCTTAAAAGACACAAATGAAAAATACTGTTAAATTACAATCCTGTAACATAGCATCTTAAAAAATCCAGGGATTACATTTACTTAGTTCTCTGCACCCCTGGAATATGTAACGACCAAATCAATTACATTTTTACCTGAGCTCTATATTTCACCCCTTCAATGATCTGGTCCTTGTTTTCTCTGATGACCCTCTCTAGATCTGTGGCAATCAAGGATTCAAACAGGAAGCTCACATCCAAGCCAATCTGGCTCAACTGAAATAATATAACATCAGCTGATTACTTTATACAATGTAGTGTAAATAGGTGTCAATTATGATGTCTGGAAAACAGCAATGCATGGTTAAAAGTGTTACAGAAAATATTAAGGGTATGTCTTCAAAATACTACATGCTTCATATAATTTACTTCATGTTCAATGAATTAGTCATCAGTGATTTTGGTCAGAAGATATTCAAAACTATAAAGGACAAATCTAGTGTTCATCAAAACCTCATTCTCCATTGGTATTTTATAATCTATAGGCCAATATCAGCAGTAGTTTAAGTCTGTAAACAGTGGGTGATGTAAAATCCATTGATATCATTCCACATCACCATTGCTTTCTTTGTTAGGTCTGTCATGAAACATTACCATACCAAACACATAAACTATCTTCCTAATGTTAAATACACAGTCATATATTTGGCTAGAAGTAACCAACCTCGTCACACTGTTTAGAACTAACAAACCCTGTCACACTGTTTAGAACTAACCAACCTCGTCACACTGTTCAGAACTAACCAACCTCATCACACTATTTAGAACTTACCAACCTCATCACACTATTTAGAACTAACAAACCCTGTCACACTGTGTAGAACTAACCATCCTCGTCACACTGTTTAGCACTAACCAACCTCATAATACTATTTAGAACTAACTAACCTAGTCACACTGTTCAGAACTAACCAACCTCATCACACTATTTAGAACTTACCAACCTCATCACACTGGTTAGAACTAACCAACCTAATAATACTATTTAGAACTATCGAACCTCGTCACACTGTTCAGAACTAACCAACCTCATCACACTGTTTAGAACTAACCAACCTCGTCATACCGGTTAGAAATAACAAACCCTGCACACTGTTTAGAACTAACCAACCTCATAATACTATTTAGAACTAACCAACCTCGTCACACTGTTTAGAACTAACCAACTTCGTCACACTGTTTAGAACTAACCAACCCTGTCACACTGTCTAGAACTAACCAACCTCGTCACACTGTTTAGAACTAACTAACCTAGTCACACTGTTCAGAACTAACCAACCCGTCACACTGTTTAGAACTTACCAACCTCGTCACACTATTTGACAATATCTTTCCCATGTTAGATACACATTTATTTTGCTAGAACTACATGTAACTCACCTCTTCACACTGTTGGCGTGCGTTGTGAAGACACTCTGCAATAACTGACATGGACGATTTGCCTCCAAATACTTGTCTATTGACTGTTGACACAAACATCTGCAGCTCCTTCTTGGCCCAAACAACAAATGCTGTAACATAAGAAGCAACAATACAGAATTTCCATGTATGTTTGGGGGGTTAGCATCCTGGCAACAGCTAAGGTCATATGAGGACAGTATATGAATGTCCCCTTCTTATAAAAAGTAGTTACTATCAATAACAGACTAATTAATCCATTATAAGTTTAACATGCATTTACATCAGAAACTATATTTGATGAAACAGCCAGCTGATCATGATCAGCTGTAACTTGACATACAGTGGTCACAGAATGAATTCTCACCCGACATACAGCCGTAGTGGTCCTGGAATGCCTTCATAAACTCTTTGCCTGTCTCTGAAAGGCATGGGATAAACACATCACACAGTCGCCGGATATACAGTGTGGTGGCGCCCTCAAATTTAAGCTGACGGATGTTGTACTTGATAATAGAGCTTCTGTTCTTCAGGAACAAGTCACAAGCCTGTATCAAAAAAGTAAAAAGTTATAAACCTATATCAACAGAGGAACATCACAATACTAAGACACACAGGGACCTAAAATATATTTTTCATATATCAAACCTGTATTGGGCTTCACATGTACTTAACTCCAGCACTGACCTATATTAAGCTACACTTGTACTTAACTCCAGCACTGACCTGTATTGAGCTACACTTGTATTTAACTCCAGCACTGACCTGTATTGAGCTACACTTGTACTTAACTCCAGCACTGACCTGTATTGAGCTACACTTGTACTTAACTCCAGCACTGACCTGTATTGAGCTACACTTGTACTTAACTCCAGCACTGACCTGTATTGAGCTACACTTGTACTTAACTCCAGCACTGACCTGTATTGAGCTACACTTGTACTTAACTCCAGCACTGACCTGTATTGAGCTACACTTGTACTTAACTCCAGCACTGACCTGTATTGGGCTGCACTTGTACTTAACTCCAGCACTGACCTGTATTGAGCTACACTTGTACTTAACTCCAGCACTGACTTGTATTGAGCTACACTTGTACTTAACTCCAGCACTGAGTTGTATTGAGCTACACGTGTACTTAACTCCAGCACTGACTTGTATTGAGCTACACTTGTACTTAACTCCAGCACTGACTTGTATTGAGCTACACTTGTACTTAAGTCCAGCACTGACCTGTATTGAGCTACACATGTATTTAACTCCAGCACTGACCTGTATTGAGCTTCACTTGTACTTAACTCCAGCACTGACCTGTATTGAGCTAGACATGTACTTAACTCCAGCACTGACCTGTATTGAGCTACATTTGTACTTAACTCCAGCACTGACCTGTATTGAGCTACACTTGTACTTAACTCCAGCAATGACTTGTATTGAGCTGCACTTGTACTTAACTCCAGCACTGAGTTGTATTGAGCTGCACATGTACTTTACTCCAGCACTGACCTGTATTGAGCTACACGCGTACTTAACTCCAGCACTGAGCTGTATTGAGCTACACGTGTACTTAACTCCAGCATTGACCTATATTAAGCTACTCTTGTACTTAACTCCAGCACTGACCTGTATTGAGCTACACTTATACTTAACTCCAGCACTGACCTGTATTGAGCTACACTTGTACTTAACTCCAGCACTGTACTGTATTGAGCTACACTTGTACTTAACTCCAGCACTGACCTGTATTGAGCTACACTTGTACTTAACTCCACCAATGTACTGTACCTGTGCAGACTTGCCAAGTCTGATGAGCTGCATCACAGCGCGTCTGGCTGCACGCGGTCCACCCCTGAGGGACCGCTCCGGGGACACCTGTAACTCCCCCATCAGTCCCTCAGTTAGTTGCTTCACACGGTGGTCAATCCTTGCTCTAAAAGAGATGTGTATAGATGCTAACATTAGGTTCACATTGTGATCAATAATAACCTCTCTGTCTAATTTAGGACATAAAATAAGCCTTTGATTGTTGTCAATGTACAGATAATTTCTTAAACACGCACTACAATGCTTCAATTTTATGTCCATTTATTTTAACACTAATAAATTTTGAAAATAAAACTGAGATTGGTTTTATTGCATAATCTTTTCCTTTAAATTTTCCAGTAAAAACTTCATCTTGCAAAAAAAATGAAACAACATGCATCATCATATTTTATCTATACTCAATGATACCCTAAACCTATTTCTTGTAACATTCATTTTAAATACCTCAGAATTATCCAATAAAGATATTCATAATAGCTATAACAGTATTATTTATTGTACATATACATCATATATTGTAGAATGTATGATTATTATGTAATAATATTGGTGTAACACTATTACTGGCCTGCTAATATAATCTGCAGAATATCTGTAAAACAAACACTTTTTATAAAACCAAGACGCAATTCAGACATTGACAACATACCTGAATTCTTTAACGGCAGGAACTTTTGGACAATCTTTTAAATATTCATTAACTGAAATGAAGGTAATCGTAAGACTTGGAATCAAACAGATCACTAGAGTTCATTAGATAATAAGTTTTAGGAAAAAATAAAATATATCAACACAATAATCATCAGTAGAATACACTGGAACCTCCACACATACAATATCAACTATAATACTTTATAAAATATAACACTTGTACAAGAAACTATCGCAAAGTGTGACTAAAATAAGTCTTCAAACTTCTGCTGAAATGAATGTTTCATTCTGCTGCCCACTACACTGTCTCAAAATCTGGTTATCTCAAACAACAGAAGAATTATTTCCCGTATATAATGAGTTATTAGAGCTGAGATGAATAATTGCACAGTATAATATATATACATCAAATCGTAACATGTTTCTATTGATATAAAACAGGATAATTGTCAGTTATAAGTCAGAGAGAAATTATCTTACATTTATAAACATGCTTCATACGGGGAAATTTTTGCTGCAGTTTGATTTCACCTTTTTGATGAGGGTGAATTTATAATGACAGCAAATATAAGTAGACAGCATAATATACAAAATAATTTAATGTGAGGGACGAAATTAACACTGGACGAAAGTTGATAATATGGGTGAAAGGCGAAAATTTGACTAGGGGAATTTTTCCCAGTAGACAGTATTTCATTTTATAAACAAATTTCTATCTCTGTCAATATTTGAACCAATCATACCTCTCTCCACTAAGTCTACAGCTCCTTCAAAGTCTCTTTGCGCAATACACATATCTAAATCTTCTGGAAGTTCCTGTATCCAATCAGAATTAAGGAAATCTGTTTCTATGGCTGCAAGAGCCTCACTTTCATCTTCTTCTCCAAATGCTGTTCAAAAAAGAAATAAAGTCAAAAGTTCAAAACTGTATGTACACTTAATGACTAAAACACCTACAAGTTAACAAGGGCCTTACTCAGAGCACAGGTAGGGAATAGCAGACCAGTAATTAGCAACAGTATGTGAAGTGGTCACGAGGAAATGGAAAAATAATAAGTGTTAGGAAAGACTTATAGTGGTCATTCTTGGCAGCTTTTATGTATGTGATATTTGATAGCAATCAAATAAGAAACATCAAATGTACAGTGAATTTCATTCTGTTTTCAGTAACATCGACATACAATGCCTTTGACTTCAATCCACCCTAAATGATCAGTACATGTCAAGTTTGAAAAAAACAATCAAACAGAACTATCAACTTGAGTTATCATACAGAAAGGAATTAATGGAAGGAAAGACAAACACAGTAATTACTACAAGACGTTCACTTCTCTTGGTGTATGGCCCAAATATACCTATTCTAATTGTTTTCTGACTATTTCAGTTGATTCAAAAGACAGTATTGCACACAAGGTTCACCGATACATATACTGTAAAAGCATATATTTTTGTGGGGTTAAATTTCGTTGTTTTTGTATGGGGACAATTTCGTTGGGATTATATTTTGTGGAATCAATATTTTAAAACCCTGTATTTTTTCTGGTAAGTAATAAGTTTAAATTGACCGGCATGACGACATATGCATGGATGAACTGGTGCATGACAAAAAGTGCATTTTTTGCGGCTTCCGACTGATCGAGATTACCGGGGCCTATCAATATTGACATGTGCTGACGTTACCTGTTTAACAATAACTGTGTTACAAATACAGCGATTGATTGACACGCTGTTGTTATAAGTGTTTACCTCTGTGCCTGTGACAATAATTAAACTGTTAATCATGACTTGTGTCTTTATGTAATTACTCCATGGATTTGTAATAAAATTAATATGTTATTTAATAATTTTCGTTACGTTTATATTTCGTGTGTTTAAAATTGCGTTGGGATTATATTTCGTGGTTTTCATAAAACCACGAAATAAACAAAATTAAATCCCCAACGAAATATTATGCCTTTACAGTAAAGGTAATGTTGTTGAAATAGAAGGTCTATATATCAGGACACAATGTGGTGATATTGTTTTGTAATAAAAGTGACAATTTAATAAGTCTATATCTATCTATATAACACTCACGATTACTATCCTCAGTAGGTGTTGTCAAGGTAACCAACTGTTGTTCTGCTAAGAAAAGGGCAGCCTCCCTCTTCTGTTTGTCCCTGCTGGCCTTCCTCTTTTTTGTCTCCTCCAAAATGTCCAGCCACTGTCTCTGTATAAATGATAAATTTATGTTACAGATTGAAACGACAGTCTCTGTTTAAATCACAAGTTTGTCTATTATAAAACATCAAACAACTGTCTCTGCATAAGACAAGTTTGTGTTAAAAGGTCAAGGAATAGGAGTCTACTTTGAGAGATTCTTGTTAATTAATTTGTATCATTTGGAAGTCTATGACCAGTGCTGATTGAATGTAACTACAAATGATTATTGGCTAATCAAGAAAAGTTGATTCCATAAAAATGATGGGGGAGACACATGAGCTAGGTTCATCCAATAGTGTACGTCAAACTGCCAACTTCTAAGACAAATGAGCCCTATATAGAGGAGGAAACATAAGGCCTGCAAGGGACTACATATTAGTTGCCTCATATAATCATGCAGTGAGATACAACAGGTTTTATTATTTTCCAAAATTTTTCAACTCATTCACCCCTGAAAATACATTTGAACTCTTCCAATTCAAAGGTTGGAATAGGTCATTATGATATATCGGGGGGTGAACGAGTTAATGATAACAGTTCCAGTCCAACCTCTGTCCTGCTCACCTTGGCCTTAGCACTATCAGCTTGGTACATCTTGGAGTCAGGAAACATGAGTATCTTGAAGGCATTCTTGACTGGTCCAGCATCCCTAACATTAACCACTGCAAGACTGTCCAGCTCGTATAGGCCCTGGAACCTGTACCTCACTGGTCCCCGCCTACAGAATCAAACAGAAACTCCTTACCTCATTCACCCCTAAAAACACATTTGAAATCCTCCAATTCAAAGGTTGGAACAGTTCATTATGAAATTTCAGGGCTGAACGAATTAATCAATACTCTCATAGGCCAGAACACTACTGAGCTTTTCCTTTTGGCCTTTTTCTTATAAGTGTGATATATAAGACAATGGTTAGTGTATTCAATTTCAAGAGGAGTAGTTCAAAAACTATCTAAAATCAGAATTGAAGTTTGGGAAAACCAAAATTAACATATGGAAAATATTTGATTTGGAACTTTTCAGATTTACATAAAATGTGAAGTTAATAGCCCAACAGGTTTGAACATAGCTTACATGTTAATATTGATCTAATTTTCCAGGGCATTTCTTTATACATGTATAATAATGCTGAATGATAATTCTATATTCACCTATTAGGAAGCCATGTTGCAATCATCAGGCTGTCATTCAGGAGGAAGGAATGTACTCGTTGGATCTGCATAAACGACTCAGCATCTAGTTCTGCCAGGTCACTGTTGTGTACCAGGTGTCGGCCAGGGACCTCTGTTACACTCTGGTTTACAAACGATGACAATCAAATTACAAACACAATTACATAACTTATCAGACAATTAAAATATTCACACAGTTAATTGTTTTTTTTATCAAATGTGGTTATGTGGTATATAGAAATTCTATAACTGGGGTTAGAACCAAGGTTTTGTCGAGCTTTTGAACCCAAATTATGTTCCAGAGTGTAGAATTTCAAATTTCCAACCATACATACATAATAATTGAATCTATTTCTCTCACCTTTTATCTAGGAATAAAGTAAAAATTGACAATGACAATGCGAATGCGACAATATTGTATGAAGTTTTTCTATCTTTTGTACCACATTTAATTAAACACAATCATATTGTGAAAACGTGAAAATTAAAGAAGTATAGAAAAGCTTCACAACAAGTTTGTTTAATGAGAAGTTTCTCCTCAGGATTGATCAGTCCAAGTACATGCCAATCAAGACATGTGTTAATTTAAAATAACAACTTACAGAACAGCCCTCGACCTTCTCCAGGAGGAAGGCCAGGTTTTTTCTGGTTTCTTCTTCAGGGTTATCTTGTTCTTGTTCCTTTGGTTCCTCAACTATAGCTGTAAATGTATTGCAATATGATCAAATTACCTTACTTTGAATTAACTATTGCTGTAAATATATTACAATATGATAAAATTACCTTACTTTAAATTAACTATCGCTGTAAATGCACTGGAGCACTGCAGGAAATAATGACCTCCCTTTTAATAAATCAACTTAAAGTTTGCAGTATTTTTTTTCAGGAATGTTTCTTCTGACCATGCAACTGAAATGTCCTATTTTTTGAGATTCTTATATATCTTCCAAGTCTTGCATGTTGAGGCTAGAAGGACGTGTATTTTGTGTTCCAATAAGGCTGAATTTATTTTTCCAAGAAATCTTTCATTGCCAACAGGTTTTTTTTTAGGTTTTTTTTTTAATAAAGTTACAAAGGTAAAAATACCTAATGTAACAGTATTTGGTTTTTATTGTGCAGAATTTAAAAGAAATAAATGGAAATTGTATAAAAAATATCTGCATGATCGTGAGGCCATGGCTTTAAATCTAGCTTTGAGTAAAATATAAACACCATGTGAATGTGATTCAAATGTTTGACATCATGAACACTGATCTATATCACTGACCAGCATTAGGTCTACCTATCACTGACCAGCATTAAGATTGACCTCTATATCACTGACCAGCATTAGTTCTGACCTATCACTGACCAGCATTAAGACTGACCTCTATCACTGACTAGCGTTAAGATTGACCTCTATCACTGACCAGCATAAGGTCTGACCTATCACTGACCAGCATTAGGTCTGACCTATCACTGACCAGCATTAGGTCTAACCTATCACTGACCAGCATCAGGTCTGACCTATCACTGACCAGCATTAAGACTGTCCTCTTTCATTGACCAGCATTAAGATTGACCTCTATTACTGACCAGCATTAGGTCTGACCTCTATCACTGACCCACTTTAAGACTGACCTCTTTCACTGACCAACATTAAGACTGACCTCTAACACTGACCAACATTATGACTGACCTTTATCACTGACCAGTGACATTTCCATCATGGAAGACATGAGACTTTTCTGTTCTGTGAGGGTGTGACTGAGCTGGTACATCTCCCCCTCGAGGACTGGGAAGTGTTAAGGATGCTAATACAAAACTTCAAACATTTTTATATTGAATAACATAAATAAACCCGATAAAAAAGGACTTCAATGTAATAGTTTAAGAATGAATAATGTGTTTTCACAATTTGAAAATTAGACCAAGTTAAGTAAAATTTTGTGATGTATATATGTACACTCTTTTACTGGTAAATTAATTAATAAAAAAGGATGAAAAAATATACAAAAATAATACAACTGGTGAATATCAATCAACGGATTAATGTGTCTATTATTTTCTTCAAATCATTAGAAATAGCATAGGGTACGTAGGTGCTACATATATACATACCTGTATATTTGCTTTATTACTACGAACTTGGTCTTACTGATTAAAATAAACATCATTTGAATCAAAGGATACTCGATATTTCTTTTGCTGTCTCGATGAACTGAAAGTAATTTTTGTAGACATTTTTCTTGAGTGAGTGGGCTGTTTCGTCTGACAAGACCTGGACTTTCGTTTTCATAACCAACAAATCACTTTCTCCCCCTGGCCCCTCCGCCAATTTGCCAACAACTGTAAAAAAGCAGCAAAAAATTAACACATTTTTAGATTTTGGAGATCTAAGGCAAAATACAAACTACTGTATGAAGACATTTGCATGGGAACGTAGTTTTAACGAACTTTTTGTAACTTTGGCCGACAGTTGAATATACTAAGGTAGCAGAGTACTGTAGAAATGTCCTGATCCTAAAAATAAAGGGCATGTCTCAGATAAACATGGATAGTGGATTCAACCTGCACAACACATCTACATATATATATATCAATCCGTAGAAGGCAGAAAGGCCTAGCGGACGATCTGAAAAATTTATGTTTTTATTCTATATTTTCCTTCGCAAGGACTTATTTATTTATTATCTACTATATATATATATATATATTTATAAACTACATTTTGAATACATTTTGTTTAGAAGACTGAATTGTTTTTCAAAAACTGTTTTTCCCAGATTTGGAACTTGTGAAAACCATGGTTACCATATAAAAAAAACACCAAAATATGCAAAATATCGTCATTTTTAACCCAAAATTTGACCCCCTCAAATAGATTTTTTTTCTTAAAATCTGTCTGAAATTAAATATCGCCTAGTCGGTAACAGAAATACTCATGTTTTAGCATAGGTGATTCCGGTGGATTTTTCTCAATGTTAACACATGTGCCGAGTACATAAAATAGACTACATGAAAAGCCAGCTTTTGTTGTGTAGACACAGATCTAGATTTGTAAATGCCCAAAACTGTAGTCTCAAACCAAATTCATTTTTTTTTTTTAAATTATGAAGCCCACATAGTCCACTTCATCATGTTTTATATTATGCCAATTTAAGTGCTAATATATTTTTTTTATTCTGATACATGTAATATTACAGGGTTTATTCAATGTATAAAAATATCACCCATGGCCACCGTATGCTGCTACCTAAATATTTTTAGCCATTTACATATGCAACGATGATTTCGAAACCACTCATTTAACGAATGCAATGTATACTTGAGGACAAGGGAAGAATCAAATTAAACCTAGACTGGGCATTGGTTGGTAATCAGCAACCTGCAGCTGGTACTAGCTAGCTCAATTGGTAAAGTGTCTGTGTAAAGTTTGGAGGATCCAGGGCTTGAACCCTCTGGCCATACATTTCTCCTGTTACAAATTGAGCACTTGACAGAATATACCCACAGAAGGTGGTATAGGGTCTTGTGTGTCTTCAGGGTTGAAGACTTTAAAAAAGGAGGGAGGAATACGTTAATGTAGCAGAACTAGATTTGGTCGATCGTCGGCAACTAGTGTGTAGCTCGCGATCAAGGAGAGTGATGTTTAGCCAAGAGTTGGGAGGGTCCTGGGTTCAAACCCCGGTCTGGCCATGCATTTCTCCTGTTACACTATGAACAGTTGGCAAGTATACGTACATTTCATACAGTTCATGGCTCCCTTCAAGACCATAAAATGCTGTACGTTGAACTAACATATATACAGAATAATTAGATTATCTGTATAGATGTATCACAAATTTTGATCTGTATATGACTTGTACGTGGCACACTGTTGACAATAAATCTACGAGGGGCAGTGAATGCACAATAAGATTTCCACACTTTAACTGCAGATGACATGTACAAGTCCAGTTTAAATTTGTTTCAGTCTAAAATCGACATGTATTCCAAATGGTATAATTCCTTAACATGAATGATTCTTAAACAGTGCTACTATAATAAACAAAGAAACGAATCAGCTGTTATTGAAAGAAGTACTTGGAGTATTCCTCTCTCATATTTATGTTGGAAAATTGCAAATATGGTCTCCGCCCACTTTCTCAACAATATTTATGTCGAACAGGAACACTTGTTTACATTAACAACCCCCAACTAAAGTGACCTTCTACACAAACTGGACAATCTAAGGAAAAAGGAAACATTTAAAATTAACAAAAGGCAAAATAACACAGAATAAATTCAACAAGTTCTCACAATTTTCAGGATTAAAATCCTGCTTCGACAACACTCTCGCCAGCCCTCCATGGTCGGCCATTTCCGTGGATGACTAAGATTAAAACCAAACTGACAGCTGTTGCAATTCCGGATCTAGGGAAAGCAGTAATACAGCCCATTCCTCCATGTAAGTGTAAAAAATATCATTGAGTAGAGATTGCTTTTAAAAATTATCATTGTTGTCTGTTTCACAAGTAAAAAACTGAATGATTATATTCAGATTATTTTATGGATATTCATTCCATTTCTCGGAATTTTGGTTTCTGGTTTTAGATTCGCCTGGCAATGGCGGCGATTAGGAAAGGAAGAGTGAGTCTACTCACTTTCTGTTTGGGTGCGTGCATTTCACTGCTACCATGTATCAGCGTGCTGGGGAGGATCTTCCAGATAATATGGGACGACTTCTGGATTCCACTACTGTTGGCCTACATCGCTTGTTACAATGGTGTCCTGTTCGTCCTGTATAATGTCCAGTGGAACCAGAAAGACGTTTACAAGGTTTAGAAGCTTAAGTGACACGTTGTTAGGCATGACAAATATGTGCTTGTGTCTATGTCTATGGGATACTGCCCAACTTCAACAAGTTGAAGATAATTATTATAAAGGCGCTGATCATAAAACGTTACAATCAAATTAAGAAAATGTATTTTAAACCCAGCTCATGTCTTGTTTCATTTAGGTATTTAGGATTGAAATTCTCCACATCAAAACAAATGTTACATGAACTGCCAATACAATTGTATGTGTTAGGTCATATCGTCTTAAACATTGCTTAATCCTGGTCATTTTGCGCTAGGTTGTTTTGTCCTAAATAGTGTTTTTGAGTGAAACATACATGGTCAATTGACTAAATCTCTATCTAATAGAAGTCTTCAACTTCTTTTAATATACGTATACGTAATTGTTTGTGAAAACATAAAAGAACCCAGTTTGTTTCTAATCATTAACAGCATTTAACTTGATTTTTATAACTTCAAAAATATGTTTATTAGTGGAAAAAAAACCTGTGGTGCACTTAATTCCTGTAGGAACTCTATCTAAATCAGAGATTTATAACGATAGATCATTATAAATCTCTGATTTAGATAGAGTTCCTACAGGAATACCATATTTATTAGTAAAGAACTGATGTAAAAGATTTAAATTGGGCCAATACGAGCTTTAAGCTCATTTCCCGGCCATCCGTATCAAGGTAAATCAAAATAATGTAACTATTCACGAGGGCATGCCGTACAGATTCCCTGACAACAGTCCACATATGTGACTACCATATGTTACCGATGATAAGCCCAGGGGGTCTATGCATTGCAAGTATTGTACAACGTACAAAAATACATTTGTTTATACCTATGCAGACAAACTTAAAGAAAGGGGGATGGGCTTATTACTGGGCACCCACCCTATTCAAGGAGGGTATATATAGAAAAGTGGCGTTTTAAGCTTATTACCAAACATAAGGCTTATCACTTATAAAATATGGTATTATTTATATAAATGGAACCATGAGGTGGGGATCTGTACCATAACCCAATGCATATACATATGAAAATGTAAAGATCATGTTTTAAATGTTTACTTTATTTTTGATTACTCCCCAGGTGGCGGTGAGATCGGGGTTCTTGGGAACAGTGTTTGGACTTGGGCTTCTTATCAATTTTTCTGGCTCAACATGGATTTATTTTGGCTGGTACATAATTGCACTGAGCTTTTTCCACTTTTCTGAATATTATACAACAGCTGTAACCAATCCTCGCTCACTGACATTAGACTCGTTCCTCCTGGATCACAGTCGAGAATACAAACTGGCAGCCATGGCCAGCTGGTTAGAGTTTACTATTGAGTGGTATATAGCTCCAGGTAAGTTCTCATGTTCTGGAACAGTATTTCATTAATTTCCATATATCACTGAAAAATGTAAACAACTTCTGTTTTACAAAATATACCAGTTAGGTACATATTTGATTTTGTCACGAAAAAAGAATTATTTCATGGCAAATATAAACATAATGAAGATATTCGTTTTTGCAAGATATCTATCTTTTTAATATTGATGAATCAATATTCAGACTAATCCTTTGCAAAATATCCTTTGAAACATGATTTTGGAGAAAAAGATGTGCAGTATACATGTAATATTACTATGCATATTAATGTAGCACCTCTTTCAAATGTTTATTTCTTCAATTCGATTATTTTCAATTATACATATAGTGCTACACATGAATATTACCTGTATCTATTATTTAGTGATAGTGTACAATTTAAACAGCTTGCACTATTGACCTTATTACAGGATTGAAGCAGTTCCACACAATCAGCTTTGTGGGCCTGCTGATTGTGGTTCTAGGGGAGATAATTCGAAAGTCCAGTATGTTCACAGCCAGGACAAACTTTAACCACTACGTCCAATACATCAAACAAGATGGCCACACACTGGTAACATCTGGCATCTACTCCTACTGCCGTCACCCTTCCTATGTTGGTTGGTTCTACTGGAGTATCGGCACACAGGTACGGCATGCAACAGCGAAAACACTGACATACTCTGGAATAAAGTTCTGTAACAAGGTAGAAATACCAACTTAATTTTAATTGAATTTTTTAAAAACTGAAGTATGAATGTTTTTAAATATTAAAACATTTTTCGTGATAATAAAATCCTGATAAAGTTACAGATGAGCTTATAATGCCTTATTACTTGTATATGTTTTTGAAAAAGATGGAAAACATGAATTTTGTTTATTCAAAATAACTGAACCCACAAGATGTTTTTTTCTGCTTCCTTTGTCCAGCTATGTGACTAAGGTTTGTTTAAACACTTGTATAAATCTTAAACTAAAACTCTTTTGAAATATACTGTACCAGGTACAATACAGAAAATATATTGTTCAAAATTATTCATGCAAAAACAAAACTCTGTATAATTTTTTTGTTTGCTTCACAGCTGATCCTGTTCAATCCAGTATGTCTGGTGGGATATACCATGGTCTCATGGAAGTTCTTCAAGGAAAGGATTTATGAGGAGGAAATTTATTTGCTCAACTTTTTTGGAGAACATTATTTGGACTATCAGAAGAAAGTTGGCACTGGTCTGCCCTTTATTTCCGGGTACAGAGGAGAAATGTAGGAACTGTGATAGCTAGAAACTTATAACCTGGATACCAAACTAATGCCTTTAATTTCTCAGTTGAATTCCATTTATAAAGTTATTTATAGAAACTCTTGAAGCTTTGAGATTTATACAGTATTCTTCTACAGAACATTAGCTTCGATGCGTGCCAGCTTGCACATACATGTAATTCAAAGGCAACAAAGAGTTTGTGTCAATGCTATACATCTAATTCAAAGCAAATATTTGGGGTCCAAAAATGATTGAAAATAGAGTTTTTGTAAATCCTCGAAAATTTCTTTTCTGAAATATAAGTTCCACGATTAGGCTTCAAACTTGAAATAATTCATTCACATTGAATTTGATTTACAAAATCAATGATAACAGATATATCTTTTGATTTAAAGTGTTGAATAATATTCTTGAACAGTGTTTTTTCTACCTGAAATTTAAAGCAGCCTGTTCCTTAATGAATCCGGAAAATATCTTTAAAAAATATCATTTTGGGATACTAAAGCCATTTTTTTGCAATGGGAAGCAGTCTGTATTTAGCTGTAAAAGCTGACAGGAAATCAATAAATTTGAGATATATGTACTTGAACTTACAATTACTGGTACCATTATTCTCCTCATGAATTAATATTAAAATATAAATCTTGTGACATGTATAAAAGAGGTTTGCAGTACATCCATACAAACCTCTTTCCTGGAACCTGGGATAATGGTAGCACTAACACTGTATTATTGATATATCTTTATTAATGTTGTTGTATGGTCTGATTCATTCTTACTCTGCTGGAAAGGTAGGAGTCAGCTAATGGTGGTAGCAGGGGTGTACAATCCCACTTGCTAAAAATCTGGGGCTGGTATAACATAGGTAAGGCTAGCAGAGCTTTTCAAATTTGCCTGTGGGTTAGAAGGTACTCTATATTTGAAATTGATCACCCTAGTGATATGGTAATCCATGGTCTAACTACTCTTTGTAAATTTATTGTATATATTCCACATCCACATCAACTATTACCTGTTTACCTGATGCAAATAATTAATGTACACCTGTATTTCATGTCAATGTTAATGCGATTAGGCCGAATAAAAATATATGTGTGTTTCATGTTTCAAAATATAAGGTAGGTAGGTAGGAAAAACATTTCATTTTATTTTTTTATTTTTATTTTTTTTCGGTGAAGAAAATCTCCTGATTACTTCCATGATTGTTAAAGATATGTTATTGTTTTAATAAAGTATGAATGGTACTAAATATTTAATTTTTCATTCACGTACAATAAATACACAAATGAAAAAATACATACGGAAAACGGAAAACACAGCTACATTTTTTTTTGGCCTTAGTTTGACTTGGTGAAATATTTGTACATTTTTAAGTAATGCTTATCATTTTTATTCGGCACCTGAGGGTATATAGTATATAGCGCTCTACCTCATGGAAACACAGGGATGAACAATGAATTCTGTGTTAGGAAGAGTCCATGTAAATAATATATTTCTGGTGTAGTAGATGAAATATATGTTTACTATATTTTTAAGCCAACAAAGAACTTTGTCTGTTAAAGAAGGCAAATACATATTACAATAAGATCATAGACAAAAAAATGTTTTCTTAGAAATATGTAGAAAGGAAATGTAGGGAAATACATATAATGAATTATTATAAATTATAATAGGAGTTGAATTTTTGTTGTTGTACTTTGTTTAAAGATAACGCTATACGGAATTGAATGGGACATATGGTACCATAATGTTTATGGTTGACCTGTAAGATAGAATGATGAAGGATTAGTCTGATAGGTATATAACAGGGAGAGGTTTACCTGTTAAATATACAGAAGACTGAGAAGTGTACCTTTTACATGTTTGAGAAAGACTGAGAGCTCTCCTATGTATTATGTAACTATACACATAGTTTTAAAGATTTTTTGTATGGCAGATGTAATTTACCGTAGTAATGGCAGTGCTCAATCATGAAACAGTTTCTACATTGTGGCTAACAATAAGGTTTTGGTGCAGAAGACATTCCAGTAGTGTGTTTAGTTTTGATTACCAGCTTGGCATTGCTCAATCATGAAACAGTTTCTACATTGTGGCTAACAGTAAGGTTTTAGTGCAGAAGACATTCCAGTAGTGTGTTAAGTTTTGATTTCCAGCTTGGCATTGTGTAGAAGCTTTAATTTCCAATTATAGTTCACTATTAATATATTAACTTTCACTTCTAAGTCACGTTTACTGGAAAATATTTTCCTTTCATAATCCCTATTGTTATGTAATTTGAATCCATTTGGTTGCGGGTGGCAATAGAATTCTGAGCTAAATTTCAGTGGAAATAAGAACAGAAGTTACTTAAAATTACATAAATTGTCTAAAAAAAAATAACATTTTGAAATTTTATAATCAATACAGCTTTTTATAATCAGGGATGTGTTTCTTCCTCTTTTCAGAGGATTTACTTGTTTTTAGCTCATCTGGCACTTTGTGCCAGGTGAGCTTATGCCGTGGCGCGGCGTCCGTCTGTCCGGCGTCCGTCCATCGTCCGGCGTCAATATTTTACTTTAAACGACTTCTTCTTAATAACCGAAAGGCCCACGGTGATGATATTTGGCCAGAAGCAAACTGGGATGAAGGGCTACAAAGTTTGTTAAAATTAATGACCTTCACCCAATTTCAAGGTCACAGGGGTCAAATATGTTAAAAACTTGAAACATCTTCTTCTCGATAACCAAACTGCCCAGGGAGACGATATTTGGCCAGTAGCATGCTTGGGTAAAGGGCTACCAAGTTTGTTCAAATGAATGACCTTCAATTATATTCAAGGTCACAGGGGTCAATTGTCTTAAAAACCTTTAAACAACTTCTTCTCAATAACCAAAATGCACAGGGTGATGATATTTGGTCAGTAGCATGCTGAGATGAAGGGCTACCAAGTTTGTTCAAATGAATGACCTTCATCCATATTCAAGGTCACAGGGGTCAAATATGTTAAAAACATTAAACAACTTCTGAATAACCAAAATGCCCAGGGTGATGATATTTAGTCAGTAGCATACTAGGATCAAGGGCTACCAAGTTTGTTTAAATGTATGACCTTGAATCATATTCAAGGTCACAAGGAGCAAATATGTTCAAAATATTTAAACAACTTGTTCTGAATAACCAAAAGGCTCAGGATGTTGATATTTAGTCAGTAGCATGCTGGGATCAAGGACTACTATGTTTGTTAAAGTGAATGACTTTGACTTATATTCAAGGATACAGGGGTCAAATTTGTTTAAAATCTTTAAAAGACCTCTTCTGAATAATCATGGGTCCCAGGATGTTGATACTTTGCAAGTTGCATCCCGAGATGAAAGGCTATAAAATTTGTTCAACATAATGACTTTGTTCGATTTTCAATCACAGGGGTGAAATATAAAAAAAACAAAAAACAGGCTCTTTTGAATGAATTTTAATCATAAATACTGATATTTTGCCTGTAGCTTTATTTTAGATCACTTGTAAGGTTACAAGTGTGAGATTTATACCAGGTGAGTGATGCAGTCCCGTTAGGCCTCTTGTTCCTATTTTCCGATTATTTGAAAAGTTCCTGATTTACTCAGGAACTTGAGAAAAATCAAAGTTGTTGAAGTGTTTTCCTCCCTTTTAACCTTATTTCCTCCTATTTATCTAATCCCCAATCACACCCCGGTATAATACTTGTCCTGGGGGACTCCTGTACAATGATGTAGAGTAAGAGTGTAAAGCTTTTGATTAAAAGACAGTTATTGAATGGTGTTTGTATCTTTCTCACATAGTTAATACATAATCTGGCTTGTTGTATACAATTAACAGGTCATATTTTGTTTCATTTTAAACAAAGACAAAATTCTTGTGATCTTCTCAGATTGATCGCTGATACATGTTGATTGCCGAGTCATTGCAGACATTCATGAGCATCTGTTATTTGTTTTATAAGCATAGACAAGCAGTATTACACATTTTTCTTTTCTTTTTTGTATCTGCATATTTCCTTTCACATTTAATCATTGCTACAACAAATTAGAAACACTAATTTGGCAGCTTTGAATAACGTTTATATAACAAATATTTGCTCATAATGTCAGAATAAGAGCTAGGTAAATTGGGCCATACAGTGATGGGTGAAGGTCACTGTAGCCTTTTGATGATTAATATGAAGATCCCCAATATGTACAACATATATTGATGTCAAGGTCAAGGCCACTGGATCCATAATAATAGGTCAGTGTCACTTTGGCCATTCATTGACATCAGGTCAAGGTACCCTACGATCATAGGTCAAGGTCACTGTGGCTGTACCATGGCAGGTCAAGGTCACTGGGACCATACAGGGAAAAAGCAAGGTAATTTGAGATCTTCAAAATCTTTGGGAATTAGTCATTTTGTAAACTAGGATAACAATTAATGTTTCACTTTCATGGTTTGTTCCAAGAACAAATGTCAAGGGTTTAAATTTTGTATAAAACCGTTAATACTTGTTAACCTGTTAGGCCTAACTACATCTCCATCAGGTAATTAGGGTGACAATTTTCCGGCATTCATTATCAAATGGAGGCCTTTGTGATCTCTATTTAGGTAAGAAAGGTCAAACATATGGAGTTGTAAATGCCACTTGGACAGATTGTTCCAAGGAAGTGTGGGAAAGTAGGTTATACAGTCTTACCAAAACTGTCTAAAAACATCCAGACTGTCTTTCTTATATAAAATTATCTTAGGAATCCAATGATCTCATGGTATCTTACAGCGATTCAGTAGTACAGTGTACCAACCACTCGGGTTCAGCTGAACTGTTCAAAGTAATGGCTAACAAGGTTTTACAGTATGTGTTTTTGTTAAGTTTTTTGATTGGAAATTAACTGTTTCACCCCACAGTAACTTTAGTAAACTCTTCCATGCATTGATCTGGATAAGTCCATTGTAGACTACAGTGGTGAAAAGGTTAAGTGTTAGCAAACCTGAAATCAATCAATTGAATCAAAATTATATGCAAAAAAAATCACAAATACATTCAATTTAATCACAAATACATTCAATTTTCCAAAATATATTTTAATTAAGATTAACATTCAGCTGTAACACCATGTTTTTTCTAGTATGTACGTGTATTTGAAATGATGATAGAATGGAGAGTAATCAGAAATGTGTCGAAAACACTTGTGTATGGTGATATGTGGGTGAGCAGTAAGTACATGTACTATGTTTGATTTTGAAGATTATTAAACGTATAATGTTATTGGCTGTGTATAGTGTTCTTTTAAGTAATACGTTTCATGGCAATGAAAATTATATCCATCTTTTTGCCAAAATGATGGTAACATCATAAAAACACTGATCTGTCTGTCCAATCATGAAATTTACATTTTGTTCCAAAGCAAACATCTGAATTATTGTACTTCAGTTCCACTTTATGTGGGTATCATAACAAGATGTGGTGTACAACACAGTCTGTGGTTTCATTTTCACAGCAAGGTCAATGTCACAGAAAAGTCAACCTGACTGCAAGGTCAATGTCACAGGTCTATAACACAAAGGTCAACGTCACAGGATTGAAGCTCCAAGGTCAACATCAAGACAGGGTCTATGTTACAGGTCTATAACACAACGGTCAACATCACCGCTTCTAAACTCAATGTTAGCTTGTCAACACAATCTGACATCAACCACTGTTTCTAAAAGTTGAAATATCAAATAAAATTTGTTAAAATAATTGTAATGACGGAAACACGAAAATTTGAACATTTACAGTGTCCGACAGAATTTCATAATAAACACAACACCAGGAGTCTCTTTCAAAAGAATCTTTAATGGGTGAGGAAAACCAGCCTCTACTATAAAATATATTAACAATATAATTTGCATAATTTGTGATCCAGATCACAAACAGTCATAAAAATATATTAAACTTATTAGTAGGAAATATTAAACATGAATTGTGGCTACTTCCACATCAAGCAGTCTACAACATTGCCTGCTCCTACTGCTGAACTAAGACAAGTCCAGTCAATGGAATGATTTAGAAAAAAGTTAGATTCTCATACGCAACAGCTACAAAAGTTTTGGGAAATAACCAACAACTATAAACCTTTAACACAAATAATTTCTATCAAATGTAGACCCACAAATACAATTTGTCTCATGATAAAATTGTAAGTACAATAAAACAACAGAATTTAAGAAGTTAACTTTCTTTTTCCAGCTACATGTATGTAAGAAGAACAAGTTACTGTAAATGGTACATGTACCATTATTAACTCATTCATCCCTGAAGACATATTTGAACTCTTCCAATTCAAATGTTGGAATAGTTCATTGTGAATTTTCAGGGGTGAATGATATTTGAACTCTTCCAATTCAAATGTTGGAATAGTCTATTGTGAAATTTCAGGGGTGAAAGGGTGAACACACTCCTGTTTTGTCAATGTAGGAACCTGCTTTACATGTACCGCACAACAGATATAATATGTACATGTACTTACCACTTTTAACATATAGATATTAATGCAATAATTAACAAAGAACATGATAATAAAGAAAGAAATGTAAATTAACATGAGGTCTTTCAAAGAGACTTCTAATTTCAGGGTCGGAATATATGAAGTTATCACAAAGAAATCCTTAACATGGACGGAATAGAGATAACTACACATGTTACAATCAGATGTGTATCTGGGTAATTATAAAACACTACACAAACTGTATATCAAACTTTAAGCAAATATATCATATATGGAATTAAATCTAATTGCATGTCATGGTTATTTAATAACAAGCTAAAACAAATAAAACAAGTAATATTTAAATTTGAAATTAAATCAAAGTGTTGAAAATATTAATGAAAGTCTCAAGACACTTTTCAAATAATTTACATGATCTGCTTGTAATTTTAACACAGATCTAAATACTGTACCCTTCCTAATCATGAAAACTTGAAAGTGTTACAACCATTGAAAGCCAAGATTGGAGAAATTTGGTTCCTTGATTTGGTTGGTTGTATTTTGTTTAACGTCCTATTAACAGCTAAGGTCATTTGGTTCCTTGAACAAAAATGAGAAAATAAACCTACTGTAATAAAATAACAGTGACATCACATATCTGATTAAAATCTGTTACATAAAATAAAATAAAATCTAGCTATGATAAGTATATTAAACAGTATAAACAGGTATCATAAATAGATTCTAATAAAATATAAAACAATCAAAAATGTAATTTGGTACCTACCGTATCTAAAATCAAATTTGTTTTTAAAATAATGTTAAAAAGATTTTCATTTAACATATTGTTCTAACAAGTTTTACATATCATGCAAAAATATCCAAATCAAATAAGCTATTTTTGATTAATTGAACGTATAATTTGATAATTATCCTGCAATAGAACAATTACATGTATAGTGTTAAATTAAATTAAACTACACTTTTACACCCAACGTTAAAAAATATGCAATTCTTCTGATATCCTTGATAATACAAAGTTCTACAGCATTAAAATAGAAACAATACATATCTACAGTATAAATGTAAATTCTATTCACTGGATTTATATATATTTTTTCACAAGAATTCTTGATCAAAGATTGATATTCTCTTGTCCTTTACTCATTTTCAAATTTTGCGTTTCTCATCAGATGAGTTGCTGGAGTTGCTTGCCCCTGGTTTTTCAAATTTTGCGCTTCTCATCCGATGAGTTGCTGGAGTTGCTTGCCCCTGGTTTTCCATCCGATCCGAGTGAAGTCCTCGATCCAAATCGGTGTTTGTCACCCATCTTGTTGAGTTTCTCAAGTGTACTCAATATCGGCAAAGTTGATAGATTGTCCTCATCAGAATCCATGGCTTGTATACCTTTCATTTAAATCATAAATCATATCATGATAGAACACATGTAATACTCTTTATATTAAGACAATCCTTTTTAACCCTTTCACCCCTATGTAACTTTAGTAGACTCTACCATGCATTGATCTGGATGAGTCCATTATGGTCTTCAGTGGTGAAAGGGTTTAAGTTACGCATAGTATTTCAAGAATATGTTTTCACATCACCTTGACAAAACTTCAGCAAAAGTGTTTGAAATATGAAAACACTTAAAAGATAAAAACATTTAAAGAGAACAAAAGAAAAGAAGCATATTTTTTTTATATAAAAATGAAGTTTTCCTTCTTTATCAGTACACAGCATTACACATTAACTATATTTTACAGTCTCAGAGCAAGGGTTTAAGTAATATACCTTGATCTGCCATGTCCCAGGCTTCACGGTCCAGAGAGTTGTCACGGATGTACCCTAGCACTCGGTGTAGCTGTTGATCCCTCGCCTTCAACCTGTTTACAAAGTATCGATGTCTTAAAGTCTTAAAAGATACATAAATCAACGTCAGCATCTTATACATCAAGTTGAACATGCCATTTCTAAGTCTAGTGTTAGAAGAGCTGTGTCAGTGGTGAGTAAGAGTGTCAATGAATTGACCAGAAAAGTGTCATCAAGTAATAAGAAATTACTTCACACTAATGGAATGGAACAGGTAACTCATACAGAAGTATGTGTACCAGCTTAAACCACTGTTACGCAATTTAGGTGTAATCTTTGAAGAATATCTTTAAAAGCATTCTTTCAAGTAAGAAAAGTAAGATTTTATTCAAGATCAGAATAATATATTACTTTTTAAAACAGACATCTGTAGTAATAAAGTCATTTAAACATTTTTGAGAAGAAAGTAATACTGACTTCATTTCTTTGGTGTCCAGCATGCAGAAGATGATCTTGGTTACGACCTTCTGTAGGATGGTGTCCTGGGAGCGGCCAAACATGGTAAGGGCATCCTTAATACTGGGATGATTCACCAGCATTTCACACGCCTGTAAAATAATAAATGAACTAATGTAATAAACAAGTAAACCCTGCACTATATGTAGACAGTATGTTTCCAGTGCAGAGAATAATACAACGTAAATACCATATTTCGTCATTTCGTATTGCAGAGTTGTCTTCTCTTGTGAGCAGGTATTGATTGTTACATCATTGGTTTGTGTGAGACAATGATGTCATTTTCTCAAAAATTGATGACGTTACTCTCACAAACAAATGACGTAACAACCAATACCTACTCACAAGCGCAGATAACTCTGCAATACAATAAAGACGGAATACCATGGATAGTAATTTGTTGGTGTTCATGTTAATCAGCCTTTTTATTTATATATGATACCATATAGGAACATCTATAAATATCAGTAGGGAGCGATTATAGGCAAAACAAAATTCTAACAAAGGTTTTATTCTCTCAGTCACTTTAACTTCATGATTTTAATCTGTCCAGGAAATACTTATATAATAAAGTCATAATAAAACAAAAATCAATATTTCTGTATAATTCCCTTTATTTTTTTATGTTTTTCTTTTTAAACATTTTGGATATTATCAGTAATTTCAATCTGGAAGTAAAACAGTTTATCGACATTAAACCATGACACCATCAGAACTACTGGATGTGATGATGTCACAATCGACTGACCTGTATATCAACTACCATATATCTGGTGATTGTGTAAAAACATTTCAATAGAGACAGCTCCCCCACCCAAACCCCAAGTTGTCAAAAGTTCAGATTTGTTGGCATGTACTGGTGGTTTAACTATCACAAATATCCACTCAATTTTACAACTGTTACAAACTACTGACATACATCAGCAAAGCTGAAAATACATTGAGTTGTCCCCTTAGTAAGGAGATTTGCCATTCAAGAAAAACATTTTGTGTTTCTAACCTACTATGATAAAACTTAGGTATTGTAATGTCTGGTAATTTGGTTACATGGTAATTTTTCTCAATGTTGACAAACATATATATATTGGATGGTCTTATCAGTAAACTATGCATTCTACTGTAACAGTGACATGACTTACCATCTTATTCTCAGCATAATAAAGGAGGATTTTGCCGGCCAGTAGGTATAGTTTCTCATCCAAGGTTTTGTTAGGGAGGTCTAGCAATACTTCCATAAGTTCCTCCTAGAAATATAAACAAACTATAGAATTATCATCTGCTAGGGTTTGAGATTCTTGTAAATTAGGCATAAAACATGTTCAGAAATATCATGAAGAATATTGCGTTTTTTGTAGTAAGTTATAGATTACCTGTGCACAGATCATCTCTGAGCTCTCAATAGCAAGAAGTTCGAAAGTCTGCAGGGCATAGCGCTGTGTTTCTGGATCAGTACTGCTACACAAGTGTACCAAGGCTTGGGCTAGAAACACAAAAAGGTATTTTCTATTAAATAATTGTCATATGGTTATTCATATAACTTCAGCATACATAATTCATCATTATGTCATATTTTTTATATATCATACATCATTCCAAGCAATCTGATTGCCTTTCAAGGGAAAGAAAAATATAATGCGTATACACTTTTATAATCACAGAAATTTGATCACAATAGAAAGTCAGTAGAGTAGTTCTGACATAAAATCTTCTGTGTTAAAAATAAGTTCTGCTAAACCCTGAATCTTCTGGGGGACGATTTTTGGGTCATTGTTGCAGAAATCAGGAGATTCAAGGACCTATATATGTTAGAACAGATCATAAAATTGATGCAGGAGATAGGTTTATTTTGCAGGTCTGTCCCACGAGATGCAGGTCATTGAGTAAGTAGGATATCAGTGTATAAGCTAGCAGACAGTGTGAGGGCGGGAAGGATAATTTATATGGCCAGTTTATATATACCGGGCATGTTCCTAGAAGCCATCTGTGCCCTGATCTCAGAGGTGAAGGCCAGTTCCAAGTAGATACTAGCAATTGTCCTCTGGCAGTAAATGGTACCCTGATAGGCGGCATGGGCAAGGTCATCCAATCTAGAGAGGTCAAGGTCACACAATGTAAAATGTGATTTTAAATGTTTTTCATGTAAACTTCATAACTTCAGATAAAACAGATATAATCCGGCTTCTACATAGTCTTATCTGTTCATGCTGCTAAAGAAAATGTGAAATTTTCAAGTGCTTTATTGCATACCTGTTATTTTTTCTTTACTGAATCTGCTAAATTGTTTGCACTACATAATCAGTGCACCAGTACTGAATTATTTCTCAGGCAAATAAATCTATTTCAAAACTACCCCGGCATTTTTGTTTCATTTAATATTTGCGTAATTACCCATGATCTGCAACAACCGAACTCTTGTTTTCCTCAGACTCAGAGACAATGGTGTACAGACTAACTGCAGCCTCCTGCATAATACGTGAATTCTCCGAATGGAGCAGTGACGTCAGAGTCTGGACACCATTCATGTCAACAAAATTGTCCTGTAATGATAAAGGGAAAATTATTTTGACAAAAAAAAAAATGTTTTTGCTTACATATCAGGCTATTTTTCCAATTTCGAAATTTCAGAACTAAAATTGTTTCGGGTAATGAATTTTTACAGTGAAATCCAAAATGTTTGCCCTCATCAGATTTTCATTAATTTTGCCCTTGAACTAAAGGTCAAACTATTATTTATATATAGTTATGGAATGTTAAGTTTGCATTCAACACTTATCATTTCAGATAGAGAAATTTTGGTCGAGAAAAATCTGTTGGTTTACAGTACATTTTACCAGATTTTGATAGGCAGATATCAAACATATCCAGAGTAATACAGAGTATTACATATGTACCTGTATGGACTGTATGGTGAGGAGTTCTCCGATGGCCTCCACAGCGTGCTCCTGGGTCGCATCATCATCACAGTGTGCCATTGCCATCAACACATCCAAACTGGTAGCAAAAACATTATCAATCAGTAAACTATCAATTAACAGTATTAATCATCAATTCGAGGCAATTAATTATCAGTAAACAATCAATTAACAGTATTAATCATCAATTAGAGGCAATTAATTATCAGTAAACAATCAATTAACAGTATTAATCATCAATTAGAGGCAATTAATTATCAGTAAAAAATCAATTAACAGTATTAATCATCAATAAGGGGCAATTAATTATCAGTAAACAATCAATTAACAGGTCACATTATATTACAGTCACAGATATTCTACACCCCCAGGTCTGGTCAGAGTCAGATTTTTCTAATTATACACTAGGTTAAGGATGAAGAGATTTCTAAGTCATGATTGTATGACATAACATCGACAATACTATACACTGACGTCATGTCAGTAGGAGCAGATCACAGAAGATAACTCATTGGATTTGCTGGAAAAACGATACGATCAACAATTTCAATTCATGTTATCACCACTTGTATTTGAGGTGAGGGAAAAACAATAATTTTAACTTTGGGAGCAAGACAGAAAAATATCAACCCTTTGGGTAAATGAGATTCCTAAAAATCTGGATTCCCCTATTCATAACAATGGTATGACGTCACTTCAACATTATAATGGCGTCACGTCAACAATCCATCAACCTCACCTCAACCCTGAATTTAGCATGTAACGTTATCATTACATTTTGTATATGATACACAATGGGAGAACAGGGTAAGAGAAAAAGTCACCCCCTTGTTGGTGAGATGGGGAATCTCAACCCTCGGGGAGAGACTCTCAAATTGCCAAACACTTGGCAAAGCCTTGTGTTTGGCAACTTAAGAATCTTTCCCCTCAAGTTGAGATTCCCCTATCTCACCCCGAAGGGTGTGAGCGATTCTATTAAATCCTACACACACTGGTACAGGAGATAGAGATACCCTACACTAACTGGTACGGGAGATAGAGATACTCTACACACACTGGTACGGGAGATAGAGATACCCTACACAAACTGGTACGGAAGATAGTGATACCCTACACACACTGGTACGGGAGATAGAGATACCCTACACTAACTGGTACAAGAGATAGAGATACCCTACACTAACTGGTACGGGAGGTAGGGATACCCTACACTAACTGGTACGGGAGATAGAGATACCCTACACACACTGGTACGGGAGATAGAGATGCCCTACACACACTGGTACGGGAGATAGAGATGCCCTACACACACTGGTACGGGAGATAGAGATGCCCTACACACACTGGTACGGGAGATAGAGATCCCCTACACTCACTGGTACAGGAGATAGAGATACCCTACACTAACTGATACAAGAGATAGAGATACCCTACACTAACTGGTACGTGAGATAGAGATACCCTACACACACTGGTCCAGAGATAGAGATACCCTACACTTACTGGTACGGGGGATAGAGATACCCTACACAAACTGGTACGGAAGATAGAGATACCCTACACTAACTGGTACGTGAGATAGAGATACCCTACACACACTGGCACGGGAGATAGAGATACCCTACACTAACCGCTACAGGAGATAGAGATACCCTACACACACTGGTATTAGAGATACCCTACACAAACTGGTACGGAAGATAGTGATACCCTACACACACTGGTACGGGAGGTAGAGATACCCTACACTAACTGGTACAGGAGATAGAGATACCCTACACACACTGGTACAGAGATAGAGATACCCTACACTTACTGGTACGGGAGATAGAGATACCCTACACACACTGGTACGGGAGATAGAGATACCCTACACACACTGGTACAGGAGATAGAGATACCCTACACACACTGGTATGGGAGATAGAGATACCCTACACTAACTGGTACGGGAGATAGAGATACCCTACACACACTGGTACAGGAGATAGAGATACCCTACACACACTGGTATGGGAGATAGAGATACCCTACACACACTGGTACGGGAGAAAGAGATACCCTACACTAACTGGTACGGAATATAGAGATACCCTACACTAACTGGTACGGGAGATAGAGATACCCTACACATACTGGTATGGGAGATAGAGATACCCTACACTAACTGGTACAGGAGATAGAGATACCCTACACTAACTGGTATGGGAGCTAGAGATACCCTACACACACTGGGACGGGAGATAGAGATACCCTACACACACTGGTACGGGAGATAGAGATACCCAACACTAACTGGTACGGGAGATAGAGATACCCTACACACACTGGTACGGGAGATGGAGATACCCTACACACACTGGTACGGGAGATAGAGATACCCTACACACACTGGTACGGGAGATAGAGATACCCTACACACACTGGTACGGGAGATAGAGATACCCTACACACACTGGTACGGGAGATAGAGATACCTACACTAACTGGTACGGGAGATAGAGATACCCTACACTAACTGGTACGGGAGGTAGGGATACCCTACACTAACTGGTACGGGAGGTACGGATTCCCTACACCTAGTGCCACTTCTGTCATACATGTGACTTGCAGCTCTATTCTTCACCCGTGGTGTTGGTAAATATAGTGCTGTACTGCAAAACACTTACCCTCCCTCAGCTACAATCCGGAACTTGTTGTCATCCCCAGATGCTGCCATACAAGCCAGCTCATAGGCAGCAGTCCTCTTCTCCTTTATCCTGATAAAATAGTAGACATATAAATAAAATAGGTTTTATCAAGCAACATAATTATTAATGAATCAGAATAAAATTTTACTGTACAGCATGTTGAATGGAAGACTAAATATTCTCACCAATGATTGATGCTTCGGTCTGGATCAAGTTTTATTATACATAAAACATTTCTATTCTTTTGAAAAGTAAAATAGTACCATACACAAGACCAAACAAACCAAAGGTGTATTTATTCATGTGCAAACACTGCATTGCAATATAGCTCAAGTTTCACACATTTACATACAATCCATCACAGCACTGCACATATAGGTACACTTAATACATGAATTTGCTTAGAAACAGCATCAATTGCCAAATTAAAATGAAGACGCATTTTCTTTTGCTTAAATGAGATTGATTACCATAAGCCCTTAAATTAAAGTATAGATAAATTTTATTGTGGCCCCTACTCTCAACCTACTGAAGTTGAGGTGTTGTGACCCCTACTCTCAACCTACTAAAATTATGGTGTTGTGACCCCTATTCTCAACCTACTAAAGTTGAAGTGTTGTGACCCCTACTCTCAACCTACTAAAGTTGAGGTGTTGTGACCCCTACTCTCAACCTACTAGAGTTGAGGTGTTGTGACCCCTATTCTCAACCTACTTAAGTTGAGGTGTTGTGACCCCTACTCTCAACCTACTAAAGTTGAGGTGTTGTGACCCCTACTCTCAACCTACTAAAGTTGAGGTGTTGTGACCCCTACTCTCAACCTACTAAAGTTGAGGTGTTGTGACCCCTACTCTCAACCTACTAAAGTTGAGGTGTTGTGACCCCTACTCTCAACCTACTAAAGTTGAGGTGTTGTGACCCCTACTCTCAACCTACTAAAGTTGAGGTGTTGTGACCCCTACTCTCAACCTACTAAAGTTGAGGTGTTGTGACCCCTACTCTCAACCTACTAAAGTTGAGGTGTTGTGACCCCTACTCTCAACCTACTAAAGTTGAGGTGTTGTGACCCCTACTCTCAACCTACTAAAGTTGAGGTGTTGTGACCCCTACTCTCAACCTACTAAAGTTGAGGTGTTGTGACCCCTACTCTCAACCTACTAAAGTTGAGGTGTTGTGACCCCTACTCTCAACCTACTAAAGTTGAGGTGTTGTGACCCCTACTCTCAACCTACTAAAGTTGAGGTGTTGTGACCCCTACTCTCAACCTACTAAAGTTGAGGTGTTGTGACCCCTACTCTCAACCTACTAAAGTTGAGGTGTTGTGACCCCTACTCTCAACCTACTAAAGTTGAGGTGTTGTGACCCCTACTCTCAACCTACTAAAGTTGAGGTGTTGTGACCCCTACTCTCAACCTACTAAAGTTGAGGTGTTGTGACCCCTACTCTCAACCTACTAAAGTTGAGGTGTTGTGACCCCTACTCTCAACCTACTAAAGTTGAGGTGTTGTGACCCCTACTCTCAACCTACTAAAGTTGAGGTGTTGTGACCCCTACTCTCAACCTACTAAAGTTGAGGTGTTGTGACCCCTACTCTCAACCTACTAAAGTTGAGGTGTTGTGACCCCTACTCTCAACCTACTAAAGTTGAGGTGTTGTGACCCCTACTCTCAACCTACTAAAGTTGAGGTGTTGTGACCCCTACTCTCAACCTACTAAAGTTGAGGTGTTGTGACCCCTACTCTCAACCTACTAAAGTTGAGGTGTTGTGACCCCTACTCTCAACCTACTAAAGTTGAGGTGTTGTGACCCCTACTCTCAACCTACTAAAGTTGAGGTGTTGTGACCCCTACTCTCAACCTACTAAAGTTGAGGTGTTGTGACCCCTACTCTCAACCTACTAAAGTTGAGGTGTTGTGACCCCTACTCTCAACCTACTAAAGTTGAGGTGTTGTGACCCCTACTCTCAACCTACTAAAGTTGAGGTGTTGTGACCCCTACTCTCAACCTACTAAAGTTGAGGTGTTGTGACCCCTACTCTCAACCTACTAAAATTGAGGTGTTGTGACCCCTACTCTCAACCTACTAAAGTTGAGGTGCTGTGACCCCTATTCTCAACCTACTAAAATTGGGGTGTTGTGACCCCCTATTCTCAACCTACTAAAATTGAGGTGTTGTGACCCCTATTCTCAACCTACTTGAGTTGAGGTGTTGTGACCCCTACTCTCAACCTACTAAAGTTGAGGTGTTGTGACCCCTATTCTCAACCTACTAAAGTTGAGGTGTTGTGCCCCTTACTCTACCTACTTGGAGCTGCGGGCAGACTTCATCACTTGTTCTATGTCCCTTTCCTGTACCAGAAACTTCTCTATGTAGTCTCCTTTCTGTAAAACATCAATACCAACTAATGTAATGATCTCCGACAACAACAAAAAAACCTCCTTCCTGATAAAAATTACAACTTAATTTATTAACAGTTTAAAAGCAAAGCATTGATACATCAATTAATTTAAATTCTGAATTTCTTAGGTAAGTCATTGAAAATTATACAATGATACATCAGGTTTATCACTCGACCAAACATACAGCTGATCATCAGGTTTATTCCTATGTACCAATCAGACATGCACAACACAGCCATTTTACAGCTGCAACCGCTATTTAACTTTATCAATCTTTCTGGCTAACATTTACAAATATTCACATGCCTTACATCACATGTAAGTATCTGTTTTACAAAAGACAAAAAGTTTATGGTATTACCTCAAGTCTGAAGTTGAAGAAGAGTAAAGTTATGAGGATGGCTGAGGCTAGAAGAATGAGGGAGTGGGCAGAAAAAAATACAGCAGTGAACACGCCCTTGTGAGAACAGTCATCCACGAATACCCAGTCTTTACAGCCATGAGCCTATAACAGTAACAAATTACAACATGTAACACCCAGGCTTACAGACGTGGTTCTGTGACATGGTACAAAAAAGGCCCCAAAATATGTACTTAGTACATGAATACTGTGTATTAAATACACATGATTATAATAAAATATACACATCAGTATAAAACTTAACATTCTGCTAATGTTTTATATACATTTAGAGCCTTGACAGCTAAAAAAATATTGAAACAATTTTTTGTTATCTTAATGTTATGTTTTGCAGTTAACATGTTTTTCTCTGACATTTAAATGATAAGTGATATTATGTGGAATTTACAGTAATATTCTTACCACCACAGACATCCAGCTAATACAACAGTAGTACAGCGAAGCTCCGAGTACACCGACAGACGCCACCACATAAAATATACAGTACAGGAAACGCCTGAAATACAAAATTAATTTTATACAGTAAAGTTGTAATTATCAAGGTTAGCGAATTACTCGTGTTTTTCATGCTAAGCAAACTAAGCGTGAAAATATCTATCGGCAAAAAATATAAATATATAATTGTTTATATATTATATCGATAAAGATACATTTTAGAACCATTGCAAACTTTGCAAATTACAATCGTTTTCAAGAGTCATAAGGCAAACATTTCTACAAAAAAAAAATCACCTTTCAGTTTACAGTAATATATTCCCTACTTACACAAAAAAACATAGGTTAAAATATATAAAGTATAAAGGTAAGTTTACCATCACTGAGTTTGTCCCTATTTTACAATTGGGTGTAATTTCTTGAGTTTGCCCCTAACATACAATATGGTGTATTTACCTGAGTATGTTCCTGAGTTTATCCCCAACTTACCATTGGGTGTAATTTCTTGAGTTTGTTCCTAACATACAATTGGGTGTAATTAACCTCAATTTGCCCCTTTCAATGGGTGTAATTTCTTGAGTTTGCCGCTAACATACCATTGGGTGTAATTTCCTGAGTTTATCCCCAACTTACCATTGGGTGTAATTTCTTGAGTTTGTTCCTAACATATACAATTGGGTTGTCATTTCTTGTGTTTGCCCTTAACATACAATTGGGTGTAAACTGAGTTTCTCCCTATCCTACCAATGGGTGTAATTTCATGACATTGTCCCTAACTCATCATCAGGTTTAATTCCCTTAGTTTGCCCCTAACTTGCTATTAGGTGTAATTTCTTGAGTTTATCCTAAACTTACCATTGGGTGTAGTTTACCCCTAACTTACCATTGGGTGTAGTTTACCCCTAACTTACTATTAGGTGTAATTTCTTGAGCTTACCCCTAACTTACCATTGGGTGTAGCTTACCCCTAACTTACCATTGGATGTAGTTTACCCCTAACTTACTATTAGGTGTAATTTCTTGAGCTTACCCCTAACTTGCCATTGGGTGTAGTTTACCCCTAACTTACCATTGGGTGTAGTTTACCCCTAACTTACCATTGGGTGTAGTTTACCCCTAACTTACCATTGGGTGTAGTTTACCCCTAACTTACCATTGGGTGTAGTTTACCCCTAACTTACCATTGGGTGTAGTTTACCCCTAACTTACCATTGGGTGTAGTTTACCCCTAACTTACCATTGGGTGTAGTTTACCCCTAACTTACCATTGGGTGTAGTTTACCCCTAACTTACTATTAGGTGTAATTTCTTGAGCTTACCCCTAACTTACCATTGGGTGTAGCTTACCCCTAACTTACCATTGGATGTAGTTTACCCCTAACTTACTATTAGGTGTAATTTCTTGAGCTTACCCCTAACTTACCATTGGGTGTAGTTTACCCCTAACTTCCCATTGGGTGTAGTTTACCCCTAACTTACCACTGGGTGTAGTTTACCCCTAACTTACCATTGGGTGTAGTTTCCCCCTAACTTACCATTGGGTGTAGTTTACCCCTAACTTACCATTGGGTGTAGTTTCCAGTAAAACCACCACATCTGTTGTAGTATGGACGAAAAAACACTGTGAAAACAAAGAGGACCGCTGACCAGCTAAAGGCGTACCAGTAATTGGTCAATAAGTTCAAAAAGGTGGCAAGGAACATTATGTAGATCATTACCTGCAAAGTTCAAGGTCACAAGCAAATTAAGACACATCATAACAAAATGTATAAAGGATTAAAACTTGAATATTGTATAGAAAACATGGTTTTTCATCAAAAGTTGAAAAATATGTTCATTTATAACCAGTCATTAGCGTTAAAAGTTTCATGCATAGTTTTTTTCCAAGTTTAAGAGAAACAAAATTGGCAGAAAAAAAGTTGTGGTCTGGCTGCAGTTTTAAATGATCTATTTTCAATGCAAAACAAAATACCAGAATGTTATAGAAGGACAAGCAATATTTCACCAAGTGCACCTAAGGAAAGCAATGTAATAATACAATGCAAATATTCAATAGCCCGACTAAAAACCTAACATCAACTTAACTTGATCAGATAGTCAATGTCAGGATAAGTTATTAAACATGTTCCGATTACCTCTCTGTTGTACACAATGTCTTATGGAGTTTATACAGATTCTACATTATCTGTCCATTTGTTCACACAACCCATTTGGTCATATATTATTAATTATTCTGACAAACATGCTATCCAGAGGTGTCTAGAGAAATACTGCTATAAAAGAAATTAAGAATTAAGGATAGAGAAATAAGAAAAGATAGAAATCTCAAGTGCTGAAATAGTGGCAGCTGATCTACTTTTGATTATCCAATGTTCCCTAGGCAAAAGACACAGAACAATATCCCTTAGTCCGTATTCATGAAACAGTTCTTATGATTAAGCATGGATTCTGTGCTCAAACCAGCTTTCTTGTAACTCACTTAAATCATGTAAAACAATCAAAATGTGATATGTAAACATTGAAAACAGTATTCCGCTTTAAGTCTTTTCCCAAATCATTAAAAAAATAAGAATTTAAAAATTAATTCATTACTGAAAGGAGAAAAAAGGCTGGAGCATAAAAAGCATGCTTGAGCATGAGAATGGTTTCATGAATATGGGCCCTGATTTTGGAGGTGGCTCCACATTACTCCCAATACACTTATGCATTGGGAAACAGCAGGCCTACTCTTTCCATCAATCTTCAGATTTTCTTTTATGGCAGCTACTTATAGGTATTGTATTGACAAATGTCAAATAAATGGCTGCACTCCAAGAAAATTACACTGTCTTTTTTTCTAAGAAACTGTATAAGTGATTGTTTCATTATGTATTGGTAGATATACATCCAATGTACACACACCACAAAGTCCCCTTAGTGTCTGATGTAATTTTATACAGTATTTCTACATAAACTTAATACCATGAGTTTTTATCAACCTACATCAAAGGCTCTCATCATCTTCTCTCGTCTAATGAACTCCCGGATCTCCTTAAACAGCTCCACTTTGACATCCTGTTGACCTGAAGTTGACAAGGCGTCCACACTAACCGTCATGGTACTGGCGATTGACCGGATGTCCAGCATTGTCTGTGGTAAAACAAATTAACTGATAAAAAAAATGCAGACTAACATGTTCAGTAAGTTTAGACACAGATTTTTATTGCAACATGAACAAAATCAAAAATATCTGCAAACCATAAAAAAATGATTAAAATTTCACGTTAGAAACATAACCTATAAGGCAAATTGTCAAGTACATTGTGCCTATAATTGGCTGCCCTACAGGAAAATGACACTGTAATTTTATACAAGAAAACAATGCCCTTAAAGTAACTGTTTCATTATATATTTGTAAAAGTAAGAAATGGTCGCACTATAGTATGATGTCTCATTGTCAGGTTACCGTAACTTAATTACCATAACAGGATACTTATTTGACCAGTTTTATAACAATGGAAATCAGTCTCTGATGATGTAAATGGACTTACGTCATTCCTCCTCGCAACAGGTAGCAGTTTGATGACAGCATTCTCTGGAATGTCATAGTCTTCAATAAAGAAAGCATCCCGCAGGTACTGTCCTTTGTAGCGCAGTTTAAACTGGAGGTCCTCTTGGCCTATGTCATACAGTATGTGGAGTAGATGTGCTCGGATCCTGGCAACCTTGTCTGATGGCTTGACCAACGCCAGAAATGTCTTGTACTGAAAAAATGTACAAATCCTACGGATATAACAGTAAAACAATACCTATAAAGAAGTCCAGGATACATAAATAAGATATTGATTATGTGATAATCAATAATGTTACAGATCTAACTCTAGACAGACGCTCTAACATACTGAGCTACCTCAGGTTGCTGCATGGTGAGTGTAGATTGACGAAGTAGAGTTTGACAACCAAAAGACACATGTACATGAGACTCTATACAGACTTAGCCTTCCAGGGGAATATTTTGTTGCACCCCAAATGTAATATGAAAAGAGAAAATGAATGGCCATACTGGATTTGAACCCGGGACCCACCAAGACAGATGCTGTAACCAATTGAGCTACTTGGTTGCTGGTAGTTCAACTACAAGTATATATATACACATATGAATATGGGATTTTACCGTCTATATTACTTCTTTGACCCATACACATATTAATAAATATACACATATTAATTAACACATAAAACAAAGACGAGGCTGTTTCAATTCTTCTTTTTTTCTGTTGTGAGTGTGACTGCACAGGACCCCCAGGGTGGTTCCTGGTAATTGTACATACTTGGCCAGGAAATAAAAGACTTTCAGGAGATGAATCAATACAAAAATTCTACAAGTATAACTGATCTTTTGTTGATTTGGCCTCAATTAAAAGCTCTGCTTGTGGTGAGGTATTGGCATATATATATTATAGAAGACAGCTAAGTGGCGGAGCAATCCCCAAACAGCTTATATAATTAGAACTACAATTATAGCGAAACAAGACTGGGTCTATCGTCAGGGACCAGGTACTGTAGCTGAATTGGTAGAGCATCCATTTAGATTTCAGAGGGTTATAGGTTTGAATTTCAGTCTGGCTATTGCATTTCTCTTTCTCCTGTTACAAATTTGGTGAGTTTGCCAACCTAAATGTTTCAAGCACTGGACTGGGTCGATAGTCTGTTACCAGGTAGCTCAATATTGATGGAGCGTCCGCCTAGAGTTGGGAGGTTCTGTTTGGGTATCCCTTTGTCAAGCATTCACCTAGTTCTCGAAACAAGGGTTGGTGTGACAGACAACAAATGTAATAGTAGCAAAATGCTCGGCCAGAACGGGGTTCGAACCTGGGACCCCCAACCTGTAAACAGATGCTCTACCAATTGAGCTACATTGTGGTTGATGATCGACCTAGTGAGTCCAGTTTTGCTATGAAAGTCAGAAAGCAAATGTATACGTACAGTGCGAAAACACCAAGAGGAGTACTAGTCCAAACAGAGACAATTAAGGTCATATCTATTTTTTAACTGTGACATTGATTGTCCACGCTTCTAGTATAAACATGTTTTTTATAATCCCTTATCAGTCAAATCAGTCTGTAGTTATGACAATGCAGTAGGGCTTCGTAATTCACGCCACGTATTGGTGAGTGAAAAAAAAACAAACACGGTCCGTCGATCGCGACTGCAAATCATTTCAATTAGTAGAGCTATTGTTAACGGGTAATCACAGAGATAGTGTTAGCTAATTACTGCATTGTAATTTGTATTGACTGTAGTGTTTGAGAAGTGTCAATAATTTACGCTGAAGCATGCGATCCTTCCTGGCCTATTGTCCGGGACCTTACGATATCGGTGAACTCATGCCCTCCGGTTTACTTACCTGTAAATGTCGCAAAACCAGTAGTCATGACCACAGATGACCAATTTTAATAATTTTACAGTAGGTAAAAAATGTGTGGCCAAAAAATATCGCCAAACCACGGACTTAGATAATCTAATTCCGTGGCCAAACTGAACTGTGACATGACCTGGTTTGAAGTGAAGTAACCCAAGCCGACATGATGAGCCCTTCTCACTGATCGTAATTATGATCAATAAAAGGTATCTTATTATGTCTTTCACCAGGAGATATGCACCAGCGGTTACTAAACATCGAATTACTTATTAATTGATATGTTTTTGTAAGCAAGTAAATGTTTTATGTAAAGTATTGCTAAAATGAATTGATGTATGCCGATATGCGCACACATGTGTGTCATGGGTGATCAGATAATTCAAAGAAAACAAGCAACAAAATACACATTTTACGTAGTTTTTTCCCGATTTTTTGGGTGCGCAAAATATTCGAGTAGAAGCTTTTTTCCCGATTTTCAGCCTCAAAAAGTACCTGCGCAAATTACACAGGTGCGCAAATTACATGGGTTTTTACGGTAGTACAAACGTCTCTGATCCAAAGTATCTTCTTCAAAAAGGTATGGTCAGAGATTATATTAATATCCTCGGGTTACCAGTTTCCACGCACTGAAGAAGTATCCGTGATTTCGTACTCATATCGGCAGAAAACTGTTGAAATTACGGATGACTGTCATAAACATGTATACAATCTACTAAAGGAAACAAAAAACTAGCAACATAAAACTGTATTTTAAAAAAATCATAACAAATAATTTTTAACAAATTTCTCCTGTTGGAAGTAGCCGTCATATGTTTCCGTGTGTCTATTTTGATTTAGTGTTCAAAGAAAGATAACTTGAATACACTAAAAAGAAATTCTCTACAGTTACCTGCAAGAACAAAAGCTTCGTTTGGAATAAAAAAATATATCTTTGATCGTCAAATTAATTATCAAAACAACTTTTTTATAAATTTCACATTTTTAATTGATTTTTCAAGATGTCAAATTGAACGAAGTCATGTAATTTTTTAAATTAATTTATTATATTTTTTTAGTTATAATATAGAATCTGTTATTATTTTTTTTCTGCAGTTTTATATCGGTTTTGGTTGATGGTTAGTTATTTTTCATTTTGTTCTGTTTAAAATTGGTGAAAATTGGAATTTCATTGCAGTACAAGGTTTACGTTTCAATGCAAACAGTGTTTATCGATATAAGAATGTCTCCTTGGCTCTTCGGAAATGGAAAAAAACTGTCGAGGAGATGTGGCCTCATTTGCATACAATATTTTCGTACGTTTGTCAGACTACAAAAAAGACCGGTACATGAATGAAATATATCACCGGTTTTTCAGGTATGGGGTCATTTTGAGCAAGATAAAAAGTGCATTAAGCAAAACTGCAGTTTTATGCGTGTTTTGCTTATCGGTGATTATTTCTTATGTTTTCCGGTACTTCTGGTAATTTTTGTGTCAGTTTACAGACGATGGCCAAACATCTAAAATATCCTTGTGTTTTGTCCAGCAGGTCACGTAGTTACAAGATAAAGCTTGATAAAAAGACTGCGCGGAAATACATAACGCGCGGAAACTGGTGACTAGAAGATATATACTAGTTTATGGGCTTTATAAATTATATGTCTCTTGCATCATCATCACTCACTATGCATGCATTTGTTATGGTCAATAAACAACCAATTTACAGTGTTTGGCGTCTTACATTTAGAGTCAGGACCAGGACATGGTAAGTGTTGAAACTATTTCGCCTATGGCTTGAGAGGATGCGTTGAAGTTCTAGTACATCCTCTTAAATAAAAGATGCCCCCCATCCTGTCTTCTCATTTGGGACGAGTTGACCATTCAATCAAATGAAGTTCATTTAAAAAAAAACAATATTTAGGAGTTCAAACAGACAATTTCATAGCGATATTTTATATGAGAATCATTATGGTTCTTGTTGTATACTTAAACTTACCGGAAACGCTTTGCTTTCCACGTAAATAATCATTTTGACGAACAGACGTTTTCTTTCCCTTTTGTTTACATAATTCCCTTGACAATGACGTCACTTCCGTCAAGCACCTTGTGCAGTTTTACTAACTTTAAAATCCTTAAACAAATGAAGCGGAATAAATTAAAATCTAAAACTTTTATTTTCTTAGAGATATTCATTAAAATTATCTTAAAGAAGGTATAAGAATGAAATAAAAAGAAAGAAAACAAAAAGAGATATTTCTCAATGCTCTTTGTTCCTTTTGTTTTGTTTTGTTTCGTTTCTGCACGGAATTAGATTGTTATCATTAGGCTACATTCGCGTATCCCGGTTGAAACGGTACGTGTGGCGCAGTAATTTTCCACGATAAACGAACACACTTGGACCGTTCTATAAGCAAAGCTAAAAATGCACAGTTTCGGAGAATAAAAAACAATGTATCAAGAGTATTATGCCCTTCTCTCACGCGTCCACTAAATTACATAACGTATCTTAAAAATTACATGTGACTTGACATTGTTTAAGAAAGAAATAACGCAAATTGGCAATAGTCAGCATTTTAGTTTCGGTCAGATACATCTGGACCCCTCAATCTACACGTACCAAATTTTGCTGAGGTCAGCCTCGGTCCAAATCTGTACCTGTCGTTTTCTTTACATGTTTAACCGGTTCAACCGTTTCAACCGGATACGCGAATACACCCCAAGTCCGTTGTTTCTGTTAACAAGAGTCTGGTTGAACGAGACTACCATTGAACTACTCAAGCACACATGTGGTCAAAGAGAATTAGCGTTATAGATATTTTCTAATTCTAGCTCCTTGTTGAGAAGCATGGGTTGATTTGATACATTTATACCAAAACTGAAGAAAGATGATCTGTAGGAAAGGTATGGTTTTCATTTTCATTAATGGTTGTGAGAAATAATGCCAAAAATGGAAGTTACGTTATTTTGTTTACATGTTTTCAGACTGTTTTAGTGATTTGACAGGTACCAGTATATATCTTGTTTACATTTATGTGAAGCCTTTATCATATATTATCACCAGTTTATATATATTTTTAAATCGTGTTTACGTTTACACATGAGTTTAGCAGGTCCAGTACACTGCCGATTGAGGTATATATGTATAGATGTTAAGACCTATAATAGCTCTTTTGACCTATCTGAAATAGCTGTCTTGACTTATTTTCATGTGATTTTCTTTTTAAGGAAAACGAAACAAAGTCGCTTTTAAAAGAAGATTTTATCATTAAGTTGATAACAAAAGACATTAAATATGAATATTCTTTTTAAAAAATAATGATGTAAAAAAAATCAAAAATAACATCTAAATGTACATGCTATTTGTAGTCAACATTACCATAAACCTTATTGTTTTATGTAACTTTGCTATAATTTAATGAAAATTGAAAACAACATAATTATTTCTTGCTATTTGAAGTAAAATGGACTGGTAGTACAGTTTTGAAAGATTTAACCTAAAGCATCTGAAGTAAATCCATTATGTAATAATCTAGGACACTTTGTTAAGAGCACTTTAATTTATATCCTAACAATATGGATGTAAATTGCCTCTGTTGATTAAAGATGACTTTCAGTGATTAATTTTAAGCATACTATTAATTCAATGCTTGTTTCTGGTACATTATATTGCACAGGGAACAGTGACGGATCCAGAGACCTATCTGGGGGGGTTTCCATGTGGGGAAAAATTGAGGAAAATGGTGAAACTACATGATTTTTAAGAAAATTATCAGGGTGGGGGGGGGGGGGGGGGTTCCTGAAGCCCAAAAAACCCTGCAGGATCCACCACTGGGGCAAATTCTAGAATTTTAAAGCAGAGGGGCCATTCTATGTAAAATTAAAAGAAAATTGGGACATGGAAGGGTGAATTTCGGTTTTGAGGGGTTAATGGCCCCGTCAAGGATTATCCCTGTTCCATACGTTAAAACTGCATATGTACTATATATATAAAAGTATGTACAATGTATATTGTTATGTTGTGTTTTATACACTTCAAAATCCAATCCCTATGAGCATTGATATTACACTAATAATAATAATAATATACAATATTTGATATAGCGCTAACTACTATAGTCCTATGCCATCTGGCTAATATCTCCCTAGGTGTGTATGTCTGCATGTGTGCCTGAGATATATTGCGGAGTGTTAACCACTCCACCAATCAATCCATATATATAAATCTGCAGCTGTACCAGATATATATTTGTGTGTATATATATATAATGCAATAAGGTTCTCTGTATTAACCATCATCATGCCCTAACATCTTAGCCAGCAATTTATATTCAAAACACATCAGTTAAAAACTTTCAAGTATGCTATATATATATAGCAGTTTCTATATAAGTAATAAATTTAATTTAATGTAATCAGAATTAACACATTTCAAAACTAAGAGCAAGTGAAGTGATTGAACACCATCAGTCTACCAAACTCTTTGAGATACTATTTAGTATAACAGGAAAAAGCTTAAGCAATTCATCATATTTCATACATATACTTTACATTTGTTTATACAATGTTTATCTCTTTCTGATAAGACAGTGCAGGAGAGTGATAGCATTGTTTTCAAAACTGGACAATGCCTGATCTAGATCTAGAGCCAATGATCATGACCTTACTAATCTTATCCACAGGTCCACACATTCTTATCAGCTGTTTATATTACACTGAAGGAAATGTTTCATATAAGTAAACACTCTATATTGGAACAACATGTGGATGTAATATAATCAGTGTCAGCACCAGGATGGGTCACATTCACACTGACCACTGGTCATCACCTGTGGAGATCAAAGGATACAAGCATATCCACGCAGGAATTATATTAGAGCATGTCTAAGGGCTCCAGCTAGACTCCTTTATCATGTTGGAGAAGTATTGTCAGCATATTTGTACATGTATGTACCATATTTACAATATTGCCGTCATAAGCACCTAGGTAGCTTTAAAATCTAGCTTGAATAGGGGCACTTATATATCAGGATAATAAATTATGAGTTATGATAGAACAAATTGTGTACATGTAACTTCAACTATTGTAATTAAATAAGTCAATCAGTATCAAAGGAGGACACTATGATCATTTCAATGTGGCTACCTGTCAGAGGTAACTGGTTTGGAATGTTTCATACATTTCTTGGAAACCATGCATTGTCACCAGACATAAATTTATCTTGGCTTAAACTCATTCAGGCTTGAAGACACATTTGAATTCTTCCGATTCAAAGGTTGAAGTAGTTTATTAAGAAATTTCAGGGGTTAATGAGTCAAAAGTGTAAATACATTGTACTGTAAATCATTGACTGCTAATTATGGCGAATACAGTATATTTTTATGCAGAATTTGTTTCCTATTTTTTGGTTTAATCTAATGAGTGCTTTAGTGCAGATTATTGTGATATGGAGTTAGTAGCAGAGACTTTAACTATAGAAGCATGCAAACACTGTGATGTCTTAGCTATAGGGATCTGGAGGGAACATAGGAATTTACCTACTTTTATTTGTAGGCAGTATCTATATACACATAAACATACACATATCAAAATTGACCTGATCAAATATTTTATGTCTATAAGAATTACGTAAAAGTATGTGTGTTTTTAAAGGCATGTGATTTGATATGAATTGTTGCTGAAAGAAATTTCAATTGAAATAGAAACTTTCTGTTCATGAGTTGATTAGGGGAGCCTTTGAATTACCAACCAAGATTACACTGAATATGACAGACTAGAAACGTACATTTTGTACCTGATGATATTAATAAGAAACAAATGTATACATATATGTATCTTGTTCAATATCACAAATAATCCCCTTCTCAACAAGTTGGTGGGGGATATATGTATCTTGTTTAATATTACAAGGGGATATACATATACTGTATAGAAATGCTGTCCATCGGTGTGTGTGTCCGGCGTCCATTCACCTGGTTCAGAAGAATTGCTCTCATCTATATATATATATATTGTTCCTACTATCAGTGCTATTTAAGGAATGATTTTTATTTTTTCAACATTTATGAGGTCATAACAACAATGGGTTTATGAACATATTGAATGAATCGCGTTAGCGATTCATGTAAAATATGTCCAAAAACCCATTGTTGTTATGACCTCATAAATGTTGAAAAAATAAATATCATTCCTTATATTTACATTGGCGAATCCTTTCAGTGGATTGATATAACAACGAATAAAACAAATAAACAGGGTTTGTTCCTGCTTATACACGGGTGCAACGCAGTGGCGAGAACAGTGTTTTTTCGCGGGGAAATGTGACACTATCGTGAGAGATCTTAGCAACCGTCAACAACAATAACACAACAAAATGTAGTTCCATATTCAATGTTTATTTGTAGCACAGGACACGTGAATACGTGGATATTTCACAAAGCACAGTTCAATAATATTTTAAGATGTAAGAATTAAGCATCTAGGTCGGTCGTTCCGAGTGAGTAGTTTTTGTAGTGTATTACTACGCAGTGTGATCAGGTTACTATCAGTTCCCACGTGCTGAGATTCTATGAACACCTGTGTTATGCATTTATGAATGTAATTTTTGTCAATGGGTCTAAGCATACAGAATGTAAATATATATATATATATTGATTATACTTGCATCAATTGTGTATCTAGGGTTGCTCTACTGAATACATATTGAGGATGCTGATTTTGACCTATTTTTTAGGCTTCATATTTTTACCATCAACAAGAAACAGTTATTTTTAAGTTTTGTAACTAAATATATCTTCAGTGGCTGATCCAGGATTTCATGATATATAAGGGGCTAGGTGGTTAACCTTGTTCAAGAATACATATTCCCATTTTATCATACTTGTCACCTGAAATCACTAACAATTCCAAACCGATTTCAGTTCATATTTATAAATGTTGTGTTATAATTCTAACACAAAACTAATGTTGTGTGGCCTTATAGTAAGTAAAATTGTTATTATTACTGAAACATGTATTTCAACATCACTAATTACGTGTAGACTGAGGCAGATTAAATTTTTCTTTTTAATATTCTTAGTTTGAGTTTCAAATATTTAATTTCAATTTAGCGCTGAGTGTAGATGTAGGAACCTGGTTCTGCTTTTTAAGTATAAGATTAATTTATTATAAGATATAAAATATGAATGGTATTTAGAGTACTCATAATTACAAATTATAACTGAGTGGATAGTGGGTAAGGTGTTTAATTATTTCTAAAAATGTTATACAAAGTCATTTCAACACTTTTTTCCTATATTTCAGTCACATTTGAGATTACAAAAATAATATATATATTTACAAATTTCATACAAATAGCTATAGTATGCTACTAATTTTATTAATGAAATGAACAAAAAAATCATTTTTTCAGTGGATAAAAGGACCTTTTTTATTTTACTTATTTCAGCCCGGGTAGCTAAACTAATAATAAGATATATTTTTAGACTTTCATTTTGTTCACATTTGCGGCTTGCAGTGACACTTTGCATTCTTTGTCACCAAACTGAAACTCGTGGTATATATATAGATGGATAGATAAAGATATTTTATTTTCATGTCACATGTTTTAATACATAAAAAAGTATGTGGGACGACAATTAAAAGTTAATTAACCAAATCCGTTGCAACTACCTAGGTGGTTTTCCATTTCACAGATTAGTGATATCAGGGTTATGATTGCAATCTTGACAAAAACCAAATTGCCTGAAAGATCATGTGCTCCTTAAGCTTGTCCACATGTTCTAACACTCCGATGCTATTTTATATATTCAGTCTTTTGACACCATCTTCAGTTAAAAATATAACCTGGTAGGGAATTATGTTAAATGTCTAGTTCATGTCAATAAACAAACTTAAAGTCATACAGTATTCATTGTTGAAGAAAAAAATCAGAAAAACATGTATTTGCAAGAAGACCTGTGCGCTCATTAAAATTTTGACCAGTAATTAGGTGTGTTCACCATTGATTATATATATACCTAGCTACATGGTAAGAAACACTTATTGGTTGTCTTACAAGTATCTTTTCATAATCAGACATATTTGTAATATTCATTACACATCTAAACTGGAAAACATCATACATACTATCATAAAATTCATTGCACATCTTAACTGGCAGTCAGATTTTTATCTGGCATTTAATCTATAGATATTCTTATCTGAAACTTGATCTGAAAATGTAGAATGTTGTATGTAGAATCATTGTACAATATGCTAATGATTTGGATGTTGTTTTACAGGTGAGACGAGAAATAGTTATGTTACAGGCCCACCTGTCATGGACCCTAACACGGAATATGTCAATCCTGGCACTGAGGATCAGATGGTGAGTGTTCCACAATCTCATCATTAGAAATTACTAGGGGTCAGAGGTGTACAACTCATTTCCTAGTTAAAATATTCTGTTAACCCAATTGTTTTTCATTAGACCTAACATAAATGTAGAGTGGATTTGTACTCACTTGAGGTTGTTATATATATGACTGTAATGAGAAGCATCAGTTAGTAATAGTAACTAAAGTAAATATCTTAATACATATCTCTTTTTTTTATATTGTGTCATGTTCATATAATAGATCAGCACTGTAAGATGTCACATGCATTTAATGCTAACCTGTGATTTTTAGCTCACTTGGCAGTGCCAAGTGAGCTTATGCCGTGGCGCAGCGTCCGGCGTCCGGCGTCCTGCGTCTGGCGTCAATATTTTACTTTAAACGACTTCTTCTTAATAACCGAAAGGCCTAGGGTGTCGATATTTGGCCAGAAGCAAACTTGGATAAAGGGCTACAAAGTTTGTTAAAATTAATGACCTTCACCTATTTTCAAGGTCACAGGGGTCAAATATGTCAAAAACTTTAAACATCTTCTTCTCAATAACCAAAATGCCCAGGGAGATGATATTTGGCCAGTAGCATGCTTGGGTGAAGGGCTACCAAGTTTGTTCAAATGAATGACCTTCAATTATATTCAAGGTCACAGGGGTCAATTGTATTAAAAAA